GACTCAAAAGTCACCTTGTGGAAGGGCAGTTAATCCATCAGAGTCTCGCTCGCTTTTGAGTCGACTCAAAAGTCACCTTGTGGAAGGGCAGTTAATCCACCAGAGCCTCGCTCGCTTTTGAGTCGACTCAAAAGTCACCTTGTGGAAGGGCAGTTAATCCACCAGAGCCTCGCTCGCTTTTGAGTCGACTCAAAAGTCACCTTGTGGAAGGGCAGTTAATCCACCAGAGCCTCGCTCGCTTTTGAGTCGACTCAAAAGTCACCTTGTGGAAGGGGAGTTAATCCACCAGAGCCTCGCTCGCTTTTGAGTCGACTCAAAAGTCACCTTGTGGAAGGGGAGTTAATCCACCAGAGCCTCGCTCGCTTTTGAGTCGACTCAAAAGTCACCTTGTGGAAGGGCAGTTAATCCATCAGAGTCTCGCTCGCTTTTGAGTCGACTCAAAAGTCACCTTGTGGAAGGGGAGTTAATCCACCAGAGCCTCGCTCGCTTTTGAGTCGACTCAAAAGTCACCTTGTGGAAGGGGAGTTAATCCACCAGAGCCTCGCTCGCTTTTGAGTCGACTCAAAAGTCACCTTGTGGAAGGGCAGTTAATCCACCAGAGCCTCGCTCGCTTTTGAGTCGACTCAAAAGTCACCTTGTGGAAGGGCAGTTAATCCACCAGAGCCTCGCTCGCTTTTGAGTCGACTCAAAAGTCACCTTGTGGAAGGGCAGTTAATCCACCAGAGCCTCGCTCGCTTTTGAGTCGACTCAAAAGTCACCTTGTGGAAGGGGAGTTAATCCACCAGAGCCTCGCTCGCTTTTGAGTCGACTCAAAAGTCACCTTGTGGAAGGGCAGTTAATCCACCAGAGCCTCGCTCGCTTTTGAGTCGACTCAAAAATCGCTTTTGAGGCGCCTCAAAAATCGCCTAAGTACTCGCGGATTTTATGTGGAGAGGTTTATAACTGCTTGGAAGTGTTCTCGTAACTTGCAAAAGTTACTGGTTCGTGCGCGGTTACCAAAATGACAGGTGTGTTGAAGACTTTCCCGAAGGCTGACTCTGCACCCTGGGTGTTTCCCATTGCTTAGTTGGCGATTGCTTGTAAAATACAATCTGGGTAGTTGGTTGACACAAAGTAGATCTCGAGGGCAGTAGGCTAGTACTTAGCGAGCTGCTGCTCTAAGCCCTTCTTTCTTGTGTGGATCTGACAAGCACTGATGAAGGCTGATCGGGTTTAACCTGTTGGCCGAAACTAGTTTGCGATTAGGATTCTTACGAGTTAAGGGGTTTCTTGTACTACTTCAATTTCTGGGAATTTTTTTACAGTTTCGTTCCTTACAGTTGCTTAAGCGTTTTCTTCAGGATTTGCAGCTATTCCGATATGAGTTTGGATTCTGACGACTTTGAATGGTCTCCACTGGTAGCGGAAGACGCCGAACTTGAAGTACGCAGTTCGTCTAAGAGAGCTCGTGGTAGTGGTAACAAGTCGCGTTCTGGCAAGAAAGCCCCCGGGCAGCCACAGACCGGCAATCGTTTTCCACAATTGGCGTTGACCCACGAGCCGCTTTTGCGTAACGAGCAACCTGTGATTCCTCCCGCTGGACCTTCTAGAAGTCGTCCCGACAACATGGCGGATCCGGCTGAAGATTCTCCAATCCAGGAACCTTTCCGTGGCTGGGTTTCTGAAGCTGTTAAGGATTTCCGCGACGATTTCAAGAAATGGCTGAAGGCGAAAAGCAAGCTTAAGAAGATGAAGGAGCTCGATCGCCAAGGCACGATTCTGCACAGCATCCGTACGAAAGCGGTCGAGTTCCAGACTACTATTGACTCTGTTAAGGAGAAATCCACAGCGGCTGTTGCTGAGATCCATTTGGAGAATCAGAAAGGACTGCAGACAGAGTTTATCGCCTCCAAAGCTTTAGAGGTTGAGGAATTTCAGAAGGCAGCCGGCACGCGTGTCACCACTCTGGCGACGCGGATGGAGGACTACATAAAGGGCCTAAGCGCGGATCCCGATTTGGTGGTTTCAGACGCCGCCAAGGAGAAGTTTCGGCTTATGAAGGGACGCTGTATCGTGAAGGCCCAGGCCGACATCGCCACTGCCAAGGATGAACTTACCATCCGAGAGTTGGATCGACAGCGACGACAGGCTGACGAGGATTTGAAGAAGGCTGCTGCGTCCGAGGAAGTGCAGGAGATGGAACTCGAACCTGCGTTGGAAGAGATTCTCGCTAAGCATGCAAAGAGGATTGAGGACAAGCTGCGCAAGGAAATTACAGCAAAGCTTGAAGTCAGTCTATCGAAGAAGCTGCTGAAGAATCTCTCCCTTAAGGGACAGGACCCGATGCAGGCCCCTGCTGCTGATCCGAAGCCGAAGAATCCTGCGGGGAAGCAGAAGAATCAGCCTTCACCTGCGGAAGGCGCGTCTGCCGCAACCACTGGACTCAAGCCAAGGAGGAAGCGCGGGGGAAATAAAAAGAAACAGAAGCAGAATTCCGGCACTGACAAAGACAAGCAGGCGGGAGGCCAAGACAAGGGAGTCACGGCCAAGGGACCAAAAAACGGTGGAGGCGGCCCCGGCAAAGGGCCGCGCAAGAACTAACCAGCCACGAGCTGGCTCTCCGCTGGTTTGGACGGCTGACGCCACGGCAGATTGCGCTACGCGTCCGTAACCGCGGAGTTCACAACCTCAGCGCCAAGATCTTGTCCCCGGATGAGAAAAAGGCACTGGGGTTGGGTTTGAAGTTCATACCCACGCCTACCGTTTCCCTCTCTGCTGGAGTCGAGTTAGATCAGCTCTTCCGACAGATCTCGTTACATTTCTTCTTCAAGGATGCAGGCAGTTCTACGAGGGAATCGCGCTTTAGAGTTCGGAACCCGAGTTGGCTTCCTGATCGGATCATCATTCCGGAGCAGGTCTTCAAAGACTCGTCCTCGGACCTGTCTGTCCTGTTGAAGACAACAAGGCCTGACCGCCGCCGAAACATCTCGTTAGGTGTCAGAAGGGCCTTGCGTTCCATCGCTGCAGATCGAGACGTAGTTGTGAAACCCGCCGATAAGAACGTTGGGATTACAGTCATGGATAGGGACCATTATGTACGGTTGTGCATGGAGCATCTTGGCGACAGCAACACCTACACTCCTGTCCAACATGATCCTACCGTCGACGTTGAGCGGAAGCTGCGTGACTTGCATAGCGTATGGGGCCCTGCTTTTCCCGAAACGCTTTGGAAGTATTTCTTTGACAAACCACCTGGAGGATGGAAGCCCGCAGCCTTCTACATCTTACCGAAGCTGCACAAGGAGAAGCTCGCGGGGCGACCGATCGCCGCCTCGCATTCATGGGTGACTTCTAACGTCAGCCGCTGGTTAGATGCTGAGTTACGGCCATGGGTTTTGCAGCAGCAGACATACCTCCGGGATTCCCTCTCGCTGCTTTTGAAGCTGGAAGAAACCGCCTTCCCGAAAGGGATCCTTCTGGCCACCTACGACGTTGCCTCTCTTTACCCCAGCATTCCCTTACGACGAGGCATCGACGCAGTTAGCCGCATTCTACAGAGTGGGAGACACCCGAGCTACCTCCCTATCATTGCCCTGCTGGAGTGGGTGATGATGAACTCATATGTGGAGTTCGACGGCCAGCTGTATCTTCAAAGGCAGGGTACTGCTATGGGAACTCCTGCAGCAGTGTGCTTTGCCGTGCTGTTCATGAGCCGTTTGGATGAGGTGTTGAAGAGGAGATGGACTGGGACGCAGCCGCTTTGCCACGTCAGATACATTGACGACGGCCTCATTGTTTGGCCAGGATCTCGGACCGAGCTTGAAGCCTACCTGAACGTGTTCAACAAGCTCGACCCCAACATTAAACTGACGTGGCATGTCTCAGATGTTTCGGCAGATTTTCTCGACATGGTCATCTTCAAGGGACCCAGATTTGCCGAAAAGGGTATCCTGGATCTGAAAGTTTTTCAGAAACCTATGAACCGGTACCTCTATCTCCCGTTTTCTTCGTTCCACCCGCGACACTGCAAGATTGGGTATATCAAGGCAGAACTGAAGCGGTACTTACTCCGTTCGACATCTGCTGAGTCCTTTCTCGCCTCTAAGCACGCATTTTTCCAACGGCTTAGATGTCGCGGTTACCCAAGAGATTTCCTCCTGCCCATCTTCCGGACAGTTTTCTTCCGCCACCGACACCTCCTATTGGAGGAAACCGCTGCACGCCAAGCTTTTAAACTCACCTCTCCCCCCACCCGCGGCCCCCTGGTCTTGAAGACAGTGTTTACTCCGATGACATCTCGTCTCAGGCTGGGGGTCTTTTTGAGGCGCCTCAAAAATCGCCTAAGTACTCGCGGATTTTATGTGGAGAGGTTTATAACTGCTTGGAAGCGTTCTCGTAACTTGCAAAAGTTACTGGTTCGTGCGCGGTTACCAAAATGACAGGTGTGTTGAAGACTTTCCCGAAGGGTGACTCTGCACCCTGGGTGTTTCCCATTGCTTAGTTGGCGATTGCTTGTAAAATACAATCTGGGTAGTTGGTTGACACAAAGTAGATCTCGAGGGCAGTAGGCTAGTACTTAGCGAGCTGCTGCTCTAAGCCCTTCTTTCTTGTGTGGATCTGACAAGCACTGATGAAGGCTGATCGGGTTTAACCCGTTGGCCGAAACTAGTTTGCGATTAGGATTCTTACGAGTTAAGGGGTTTCTTGTACTACTTCAATTTCTGGGAAGTTTTTTACAGTTTCGTTCCTTACAGTTGCTTAAGCGTTTTCTTCAGGATTTGCAGCCGATATGAGTTTGGTTCATGATCCGTGGGAGTGGGGAGAGACATGCAGTAGAGAGCGGGAGGGGACTATTGGGGGAGCGGGTGGTGAGTGTGGAAGGACAGGAGGGGGAAAGGTTGGGGAGAGAGGTGGAAGAACAGGGAAGAAGGAATGTGTAGCATGTGCATAATGGCATTGAGGACAAAGGCATGCAAGGGCAGCTGATCCACCAGCGCCTCGCTCACTTGGTTTATGATCTGTTAACATGAGGAAAGGGGGAGGGGAAGGCAGGTGTACCTTCTCACGCACCCACCCTCCCTCCAATTCCTCCGCCCCCACACCCGCCCCTGCCACCTGATCACCTTGATGTGGTCGCCGTAGAGCAACAGCAGATGGAACTCCGACACTGCCATTACTAACCCACCTGCCCCTACCCCTGCCACTAAGGCATGGAGCCCACCTTGATGTGGTCGCTGTGGAGCAGCAGCAGATGGAACTCCAACACTGCCATTGCCGTTGGATGCACCGTTGGATGCACGGCAGCTGTACTGACAACCACACCAGCAGCAGCCCACCTTGATGTGGTCGCTGTAGAGCAGCAGCAGGTGGAACTCCGACACTGCCATCGCTATTGTATGCACACTAACGGCTGCTCTGCCTGCGTTAACTCCCCACGGGGCCCCAGCGCACCTTGATGTGATCGCTGTAGAGCAGCAGCAGGTGGAACTCCGACACTGCCATTGCCGTTGGATACATGGCAGCTGTACTGTATCGACAAGAGGAGCAGCAAGAGGCAGGGAGCTCACCTTGATATGATCGCTGTAGAGCAGCAGCAGGTGGCACTCATACACTGCCATTGCCATTGGATGCACCACCGCCGCACCACAGGTGGCTGGCAGGGAGCAGCTTGGCGAACGAGCACCAAGAGTCCTTCTGCTCACCTTGATGTGGTCGCTGTAGAGCAGCAGCAGGTGGAACTCCGACACTGCCATTGCTGTTGGATGCACCACCGCAGCCGCACCGGCAGCAGCGGCAGCAGCACTGTCGTCAGTGTCATCTGCGCTGCTAATGTGGTTGGCTGGCAGCAGCTTGGCGAAGGGCAGCAAGGACTTGCGCTGGATGGGGGGCTCTGAGGAGGAGCTGGAGGGAGGGGGAAGGGGAGAGGGTGGGAGAGGGTAGGAGAGGAGTGGGGGACACTGATGGGACTGGCTGGGAGCAGCTTAGCGAAGGGCAGTAGGGAATTGCGCTGGATGGGGGGCTCTGAGGAGGAGCCGGAGGGAGGGGGAAGGGGAGAGGGTGGGAGAGAGGGAATAGGGGGGGCTGTGTGTGATTGGTATCATCGGAGGTGCCAGGTGGTTGGCTGGGAGCAGCTTGGCGAAGGGCAGGAGGGACTTGCGCTGGATGGGCGAACTTGCCCTGAGGAAGAGCCGGAGGGGTGGCTGGAGGGGAAAGGGAGAGGGCGCAGGAGGGTGGTGAGGTGAAAGAATGGACGAGAAGAGCAAGTGTTGAAAGCCTGCGCTTCGAAAAGCAACACACCGACACACAGGCAGGTACCTGGAGGAGGTGGCGTTGAGGTTGAGGTGGCCAAAGAGCACACCAGGGCCTGGCTGCCATCCATGCAAACCCTGAGTCGACTCAAAACCCGACTCAAGCAACAACACCTGCCGCCTGCACGTACCTGGAGGAGGTGGCATTGAGGTTGAGGTGGCCGAAGTGCACACCACACCAGGGCCCGCCATCCGGGCGACTTTGCTTTTGAGTCGACTCAAATGCACACCAGGGCCCGCCATCCGGGCGACTTTGCTTTTGAGTCGACTCAAATGCACACCAGGGCCCGCCATCCGGGCGACTTTGCTTTTGAGTCGACTCAAATGCACACCAGGGCCCGCCATCCGGGCGACTTTGCTTTTGAGTCGACTCAAATGCACACCAGGGCCCGCCATCCGGGCGACTTTGCTTTTGATTCGCCACAAACAACACCCCCCTGCCCTGCCCTGCACCACACGTACCTGGAGGACGTGGCGTGCCCAAAGAGCACACCAGGGCCTGGCTGCCATCCATGCAAACCCTGAGTCGACTCAAGACTCGACTCAAAAAGCAGCACCACCTGTCGCCTGCACATACCTGGAGGAGGTGGCATTGAGGTTGAGGTGCCCAAAGAGCACGCCAGGCCCTGCCATCCATGCAAACCGCTCTGCGTACCGCTGCTGGCGACCAAAGAAGTGCAGTGAGCTGAGGGGTGCAGTGCAGTAAGGGGGGGTTGAGGGGGGAAGGGTGGGGAGAGGCAAAAGAGGCTCTTGTGTCACCACTCTGCGTAACGCTGCTGGCGGCCAAAGAAGTGCAGCAAGCTGTGGGGTTGATGGGAATGGACATGGAAGGAGTGGTTTCAGGGGCACCGAAGAGGAGGTGGTTTCTCTTGGTATAAAATAAACAAATAAATAAATAAATAACAAACAAACAAAGAAAATGAGCAAGGGATGGTATCAGAAAAGGGGAGAACTCGTCGTTGTTTCCTCCATGTATGCCTGGCTGACTGTACCTTGGTATGGGGGGTGAGGATGCTGGGAGCTCGATAAACTTGGGCAGTTGAGAGGCGAAGGGCGACTTTTGAGACGTCTCAAAACTCGCTAAGACCTTTCTTGAGTAGGGATGAGGCGAGGAGAGCGCTGGGACTCATACGAATGAATGGATGTAGTACCTTGGTATGAGTGGGGAGGAGGTGAGGAAAGCGCTGGAACTCAATTGAATGAATGCTGTACCTTGGTATGAGTGGGGAGGAGGCTGGGAGCTCGATGAACTTGGGCAGTTGAGATGCAAACGGCACAAAGGTGGCCTGTAGAGAGGGGAAAAAGGGAAAAGAAAAAAAAAGACTTCGGGACGAGAAGCAGAGCGTGAAACAAAGGACAGAAGATCGATGGGCCTAGGAGAAAAAAAAGTCCCATTTTCTCTAATCTTATAGTAGTGCTCAGCTTAACTAACCTCAAGAGACGTGGAGCCAACAAAGGCAAGGAGGCGAGTGGCAGTGGCGGCCAGGACGAAGAACCGCTGAGACGATGCTCCTGACCCAGTTGTACCTCCCCCGGTTCCTCCTCCTCCTCCTCCTCCTCCTCCTCCTCCTCCCCCAGAAAAGCTTCCCCCTGATGAGCCTCCCCCGTGTAGTCCCAGCACTTCCATCTGGGGTTGTATTCAGGGCAGTGATGGGTGGAAAGATGCAGGAAGGGAGGATATGAAGATCTGTCCTTTGATTAAGAGCAAATTTATTGAGTGTAGGGGCATTTTCTCTCAATAATAGTGGGCACTTTCCCTCGATAGAAGTGCACGGCCTCCAGTTAAGGGCACATACCTGGATGCCCCGAAACGGGCACTTTTCAGCGTCAGGCAGCTCAAACAGCAGCTTCAATGGGCGGTCTCGTTTGTCTGCTTCCTCGAACGCCGCCTCGTAGAGCCGCCCGCCCTCCGTGGCGAGAATGATCTCCCGCGTGCTGCCTGGCGTGGAGAGAGATGGTGGGGGTGAGACGTGGTGCAGAGTGGTTCAAAGCGGCGCAGGCATGCCATGGGATGGATAGGCATGGGTGGTCTAGAATAATCTCCTGCATGCTGCCGACCGTGGAGAGAAGGGGGGGGGGGTGAGACGTGGTAAAGAGTGGTGCATAACGGTGCAGAGTGGTACAGAGCGGCACAAAACAAAGGATACCATCATCATGTGCCATGGCATGTGGTTCACTCACCACACCATATCCATCACACATTCCATCATGCCCCATCATGCCAGCATGAATTCCCCAAATCCCCACCACACATACCATCATGCGCCATGGGAGCGGGCTGCCACGCCACAGCAGCAACAGCCCCGATGGCCATGCGATGCCGTGCCACATGCCTTTACACACATACCATCATGAACCATCCTTATCCCCCCTCCCCCGCACATACCATCATGAACCATCCTTATCCCCCCTCCCCCGCACATACCATCATGTGCCATGGGAGCAGGCTGCCACGCCACAGCAGCAACAGCACCAATGGCCATGCGATGCCGTGCCACATGCCGGGCGCGCTGCCACCCCCCATGCACATACACCACATCCCAATACGTCCCTGGTGCATACATCCCCGCCACCGCCCCCCCCGTCCCACTCCCATGCCCGCTGCTGCTGCTGCTGCTGCTGCTGGTAGTGGGAGGGGTTGCAGGAACCCCAGGAGAGGGGAAGGGGGCGCCGAGGGGGGTGTGCTGCAGCACGGCGAGTGTGTGGCGGCCGCCCGGATCTACAAACACGCTCTTCACGTGTACGCGGTATGACCCGTTGACGAGCGGTGCAGATGGGTATGAGGAGGTGGTGGTGGAGGAGGAGGTGTCTGGGGGAATGTAGGATGCTAGGTTGATTTCTGAGGAAGGAGGTCGGGGTGAGAGATGAATGGAGGGAGGGAGAGTTGGGGGGAGGGATGGATTGAAATGCAACTGAGAGACAATCAAAAGCGAAACAGCGAGTGCAGGCAGCCAAGGCACAGGGGCACCAAATTTACAAATGCAAAAAACAAATGCAAGCAGAGTGAAGATAAGCCCTTGCACTTACCAAGCCGCCCACCCACCCGCCCACCCGCCCACCTGCCAGCTCATCATTTAGAAAGTCGTATCGCACGAGCCAGCCGTCAGAAGTCCCCACAGCCACCACGGAGTTGCCAGCGGCGCTGCACGTGATGCGCCCGTGGCCCAGCGCCGCGTGGGCTTTAAGCACCTCCACGCTGAACAGCGGCTCGTTTGAGTCACTGAACCGCTGCTGCTGACGAGGCTGCTGACGTGGATCCTGCTGACGTGACTCATCCTCTTCCTGAGATGGGTTGTTAGGGGGGAGGGGGTGGTCAGGGGTGGAGAAGGATGAGAAGCGGTGAGAAGCGGTGAGCGCAGGTGAGCCCGCGGCGCCGCACGTGATGTGGCCGTGGCCCAGCGCCGCGTGGGCTTTAAGCACCTCCACGCTGAACAGCGGCTCGTTCGAGTCACTGAACTGCTGCTGCTGACGTGAATTCTGCTGCTGCTGACGTGGCTCGTCTTCTTCCTGAGGGCGGATTGTTGGAGTGAGGGAGAGGGGGGTGAGGGGTGAGAAATGGTGAGAAAAGGTGAGGAGCGGTTAGGGAGAGTGGACGGCCTATGGCTCAACGCCATGTGGGAATCTCTGGAAAGAAATATATATTATCACGATATGGACCTCCTCCACGCTGTCTAACGGCTCGTTGAGTCGAGCCGCTGCTGCTGACGCGACGGCACTCGGGGACTTCAAGGCCGGGAAGAACTTGGCGAGGGGTGCAGAGAGAACGTGAAGACTATTGCACCGTCGAGTCGCACCGTCGAATCGCACCGACGAGTCGCATGACCTACCCCGCCGTATCCTTGGTAGCCATACTGCCCGCCGTAACCCCCGGCGTGATTCCCGCCGTAGTTTCCGCCGTCTACGACCCGCTCCCGCTCGTCCTCCCAGTCGTCCAACATCGAGCCGCCTGAAGCTGGGCTGTGGTGGAGTAAAGGATATGAAAGATTCTAGAGAGTGGAATGAACGACTAGCTACCTGATGTACATCATAAAATATTTTCGGATCAACAGCCGCCCTAGCTCAGTTGGTAGAGCGCAAGGCTCTTAACCTTGTGGTCGTGGGTTCGAGCCCCACGGGCGGCGCATTTTGTCTTAGGGGTGCTCAGACCCCTCCCTCGTCATTTTTGCCCTTGCTTCTTTCTGCCTCCCTTACCCTCCCAACCCAGCCCAACCATTGCAATTGCTCGTAGCCTATCTGCGCCATTCTCGCCGCACTTTCCGCAACCAGCTAGCATTCGACCCTAGGATAGCGCTTTCCCGCCGCCATGCTGTTGCAAATGGCCTCTTCCTTTTCGCTCGCGCTTTCGCCGCCGGTTCCAGTAACGGCACCGCTCTCATGCGACTCCCTCCGCAAATTCCGCCCTAGCTCGTTCAATGCCGTGGCGACACGTGGCAGGTCGTTCGCTTCCTGCCACCATCAGCGCGGTGCGCCGGTGACGCGGATTACGCGATTGAATAGTACGAATGGAGTTCGATCCACGTGTCGCCACGTCAGCAGGAGAGCGGTAACAACGGCGGCGGCGGCGGGGGGAGGAGACATGCGCGTCTCGGCATTCGCGAAGGAGATGGAGCGAGTCGCCGCTAAAGAGGCGCTGCTTCTTGCTGTACGCGTTATAAGCTTCTTCAATACGTTTGCTGTAACACTCTCCACATTCTGAACGCGATTGCGGGTCTGCAGCGTCAAGCTTTTCCTCCATTTTTCAACATATCGTCCCGGTATAAGCGCTGTACGCGTTTTAAGCTTGTAAGTAGCTTCATGAGGTCCCTCGCATCGCATCCCTATCAACAGGGCGGGCAACGGGCAACAGGCAAGGGCCCCTTGTGCTGCTGCTTTCCCCTAACGTGGCAAGGCGAATTCAAGTCGCCACCCTAACTCTGCTCCCTTGTGCTGCTGCTTTCCCCTTCATTATGCAGATTAAAGACGTGGGCTGCGTAGGATCACTGTCGACCAGACAGGGCAATGCAGCGGGGAAGATTCAACTTGTTCCGTGTGTGCTCTTGTCGCTCCCGTCCCGTACTCCATGCAATAACGCAGATTAAAGACGCGGGCGGGGTAGAGTCGCTGTCGACCGGGCAGGGTAATGCAGCAGGGAAGATACAAGTGTCTGAGAGGGTGGTGGCCTTAGAGCGACTCAACCCCACCACTCGCCCCACCAGGTGCAGTAGCATAGCTGCATAGGGTTACCAGGGCGAAAGGTAGGGTTACCAAGTAATGCAGCAGGGAAGATACAAGTGTCAGAGAGAGTGGTGGCTCTGGAGCGACTCAACCCTACCACTCGCCCCACCAGGTGAGTGGAGTAGGGTTACGTCAAATAACAGTAGCGTTACCATAGGGGGGTCACCAGGAGAAAGCAGCGGTATTACTACATGCAGTAGAGGGGTCACCAGGAGTGGTATTAGATTTAAGTAGCATAGCATGTGGCAAAGCTGCTGGAGTGTCAGAGAGAGTGGTAGCTCTGGAGCGACTCAGCCCCACCACCCACCCCAGCTGGTGATCTTTAGGCGCCTCAACGTTCCCCATTCCCCATTCCCCCTTCCCCCTTCCTTTCCCCTTTCCCCCTGCCCCCTGCCCCCTGGCCCCTGCCCCCTGCCCCCTGCTCCGTGCCCCCTGCCCCCTGCTCCGTGCCCCCTGCCCCCTGCTCCGTGCCCCCTGCCCGCCCCCGCCCACCAGTTCGCCTCTACTGGAGGGCTATTGGGACTTTGTGTGGGCGGGAGCGCAGAGCCCTGGACTCATCGCCGCCCGCCTCGTGCTACAGTGAGTCGCTGCCTGCCGCCCGCCTTGACCTGTGGTGAGTCGACTAACTAAGGGGCTTGAGAGTTCACTGGACATCATCTTCTCAAGCCCGTTAGTTAGTCGACTCTCCCGATCTTTGAGAGTCCACTCTCAAGCCCGCCTTGAGAGTCCACTGGACTAACGGGCTTGATCTTTGAAACAAGATGACATCATCTTCTTTCGCCTCCCGCGATCTTTGAGTCGACTCGAAAATCGAGTATATCTTTTTTTTTTGTCGCCTCGAAAATCTTGAGAATAGGATGGATAGGATATCATCTTGTTCCCCTCCCCTGCCTCTTCCATTTCTCCCCCTTCCCTACCACCACCCACAGGCGCCTACCCCCTCAGGTGGCCTCGCTGCAAGCCCTGCAGCTGCACATCATGCCTGGCAGCACCATCACTGCCACTGCTGTTGTTCGATTCCTCAATGCTGTGAGTAGCTGCTTGGTGGTTGGTGGGAAGGCATGTGTGATGATCGCATGTGTGATCACAGATGGCATGCCAGCATGCGCTGCAAGCCCTGCAGTTGCACATCATGCCCGGCAGCACCATCACCGCCACATCAGTCGTTCGATTCGTGAATGCTGTGAGTAGTTAGCACGGTCACGTGTAACCTGTATGGTGTGTATGTGATGCTCCTACATGCGATCAACGCCGCCACCACCACCGCCGCCACCGCCGCCGCCACCACCACCACCCATCGTCCAAACATGCGCGTTATGGTAACGTATGCGTTATAGTAACTTGGCGTTATGGTAACATATGCGTTATGGTAACCGGTATGTTATGGTAACATGTGCGTTATAGTAACATGTGCTTTATGGTAACATGTGCGTGCGTTATGGTAACAAGTGCGTTATGGTAACAGGTTGGTTATGGTAACAGGTGCGTTATGGTAATATCTGCGTTATGGTAACAGGTGCATTATGGTAACATGTGCTTTATGGTAACATGTGCGTTATGGTAACAGGTGCGTTATAGTGACAGGTGAGTTAAGGTAACAGGTGCGTTATAGTAACAGGTGCGATACAGTAACAGGTGCATTATTGTAACAGGTGCATTATGTTAACATGTGCGTTATGGTAACAAGTGCGTTACGGTAACAGGTGCGTTATGGTAACAAGTGCGTTCTGGTAATGTGTGTCATGGTAACAAGTGCGTTCTGGTAACAGGTGATTTATGCCCATGCCCATGCCCATGCCCATGCCCATGCCCATGCCCATCAGGCCGAGTCCAACGTAATCATCAAGTCGAAGCTTGAAATGGAAGACTCACTGAAGTAAGCTCCCTCTGACTTGCCTCCCTTCTATCGTTCAGATAGCTCCCTCTTTCCTGTCTCCCCCTCCTCCCTCCTTGACTCGCCCATTCAGCTTCTGAGGCGCCTCAAAACTCGCCCATTCAGCTTCTCACCTCCTCCATGTAGCCTCCTTCCCTCCTCTGCCTTTTTCCTCCCTCTCCCTCTTCTCCGCGTCAATACCCTCCCTTGTCTCTTCATCACCGATCCGCTTTACCGTCTTGGATTTGGTACGATCACCCCGTCCCTCTCCACCGCACTCCACCGCACTCCACAACATATCAACCAGGCTCAAGGAGGAGTATGCGGAGATCGAGGTGACCACTCCCATCGTGACAGGTGGCAGCATCCCAGCGCCCCTCACAGCCGTCGTGGATCAGCTCTCCTCTCTCCTCAAGTCGCTACCCGCTGCGCTGCAAGACACCATAAATGCCGGCTTGCGTGTGCCCCTGGGTGCGTAGTGGTTCTCCTGGGTGGGTGCTGGTTCCCCTGGGTGGGTGATAGGGCCCCTGAGTGAAATTCACAGATTGTGGATCAACTCTCCTCTCTCCTCCGATCGCTGCCCGCTGCTCTGCAAGACACCATCAACGCTGGCCTGGATGTGTCCCTGGGGGCGTAGTGGTTTTCCTGGGTGGGTGCTGGTGCCCCTGGGCGCGTGGTGAATGCCCCTGGGTGGGTGCTGGTGCCCCTGGGTGGGTTGTAGTGTGTGGGTGTTGGTGTCCTGCGTGGGTGCTTACTGTCTCCCCCTCCGTTTCCCACATCCCTCAGACTCCCTCCCTCACACTCCTTCAATCCCACTCCCTCCCTAACACCTCTTCCCTCACACTGCTTCCCTCGCGCTCCCCTCCTCACACCCTTTTTCTAACACTCCTCCTTCGCACTCCTTCCCTCAAACCCCTTCCCGGCGTTCTTGTTATTCAGATGGGAGATACTCACGAGAGCTCCTTGTGTCTTACCTGGATGATGAGCTTATGGTGAGCAGGGGACGGCGTGGGGATGGGGGAGGTGTGGGGAAGGGGACAGCGTGGGGATGGGGGAGGTGTGGGGAAGGGGGGAGGTGTGGGAGGGGGGGAAGGTGGGGTTGGGGGTCGGGGATTGATTGCAAGAGCTCCTTGTGTCGTACCTTGATGATGAGCTTATGGTGAGCAGGGGACGGTGGGTGGAGGGAGAGAGAGGGGGATGAGGGGGGACAGGGGGGGAACGAGGCTGGAACGATACTCACGAGAGCTCCTTGTGTCGTACCTGGATGATGAGCTTATGGTGAGCAGGGGACGGTTTGGGAATGGGAGAGGTGTGGGGAAGGAGTAGATTAGGGAGAGGGGAGAAGGGAAGAAAGGGGAGGGCAGGTGAGTAGTAAGAAAGGGGATGGGCGATACTCAAGAGAGCTGCCCGTGTCTTAGAATTGTAGATGGTGAGATCATGGGGAGCATGGTTGGGGAGGAGGTGGGGGAGGAAAAGGGGGAAGAGGGAGGGGGAGTGGGGAATGGAGTGAGAGGGGAGGGGGTTGGAGGGTGGGGATTGCAAGTGCTTCGCTGTCGTACTTGGGTGATGAGCCTATTGTGGGCAACAGAGGTGTGGCAGATGGGGCAGCTATGGATGGGGTGGGGTGGGGAGGGGGCGGCATTGGGGGTTGATTGCAAGAGCTCCTCGTGTCGTGCCTAGATGATGAGACCGTGGTGATTTATCATGACACCGTGGTGATTTATCATGACACCGTGGTGATTTATCATGACACCGTGGTGATTTATCATGACACCGTGGTGATTTATCATGACACCGTGGTGATTTATCATGACACCGTGGTGATTTATCATGACACCGTGGTGATTTATCATGACACCGTGGTGATTTATCATGACACCGTGGTGATTTATCATGACACCGTGGTGATTTATCATGACACCGTGGTGATTTATCATGACACCGTGGTGATTTATCATGACACCGTGGTGATTTATCATGACACCGTGGTCATTTATGATGACACCGTGGTGATTTATCATGACACCGTGGTGATTTATCATGACACCGTGGTGATTTATCATGACACCGTGGTGATTTATCATGACACCGTGGTGATTTATCATGACACCGTGGTGATTTATCATGACACCGTGGTGATTTATCATGACACCGTGGTGATTTATCATGACACCGTGGTGATTTATCATGACACTGTGGTGATTTATCATGACACCGTGGTGATTTATCATGACACCGTGGTGATTTATCATGACACCGTGGTGATTTATCATGACACCGTGGTGATTTATCATGACACCGTGGTGATTTATCATGACACCGTGGTGATTTATCATGACACCGTGGTGATTTATCATGACACCGTGGTGATTTATCATGACACCGTGGTGATTTATCATGACACCGTGGTGATTTATCATGACACCGTGGTGATTTATCATGACACCGTGGTGATTTATCATGACACCGTGGTGATTTATCATGACACCGTGGTGATTTATCATGACACCGTGGTGATTTATCATGACACCGTGGTGATTTATCATGACACCGTGGTGATTTATCATGACACCGTGGTGATTTATCATGACACCGTGGTGATTTATCATGACACCGTGGTGATTTATCATGACACCGTGGTGATTTATCATGACACCGTGGTGATTTATCATGACACCGTGGTGATTTATCATGACACCGTGGTGATTTATCATGACACCGTGGTGACACCGTGGTGATTTATCATGACACCGTGGTGATTTATCATGACACCGTGGTGATTTATCATGACACCGTGGTGATTTATCATGACACCGTGGTGATTTATCATGACACCATGGTGATTTATCATGACACCGTGGTGATTTATCATGACACCGTGGTGATTTATCATGACACCGTGGTGATTTATCATGACACCGTGGTCATTTATCATGACACCGTGGTCATTTATCATGACACCGTGGTCATTTATCATGACACAGTGGTGATTTATCATGACACAGTGGTGATTTATCATGACACCGTGGTGATTTATCATGACACCGTGGTGATTTATCATGACACCGTGGTGATTTATCATGACCGTGGAAATTTTCTCCTTGTCCACCCGCCCTGTGACTGTGCCTGAGGCGCCTCATGCACAGTCACACTTTTGAGTCGACTCAAAAGTCACCTCAGGCACAGTCACACGGCGGGCCTGGTGGATGTGTTGGTGCGGGCAGACAGCGAAGGGTGGGTGAGCCGCGGAGAGGAGGGACGGGTAGATTCCTTCTCTTCTCATCCTTTTCCTTCTCCTTGTTCCGCTCTCCCCCATGTCTGCATGCCAGGTGGCACGAGACGAAGCAGGGTTGGTGGATGTGTTGGTGCGGGCGGACAGCGAGGGGTGGGTGGGTAGAAGCGACGACGAGGGCGGGGTGAATTCGTTCACAGATGATCCCACCGACTACATCAGCTGAGAAAAGCACGAAGCATGGGGTTGGATGGGTGGCAGTGGAGTAGAGTGAATCCGATGTTGGTGCGAGCTGACAGCGAGGGGTGGGTGGGACGCAGCGACGAAAGGGCGGGGTGAATTTCTTTACAGGTGATCCCACCGACTACATCAGCTGAACGACCAGCATTGGGTGGGGTATATGGTAGTTGAGTGGAGTCTGTTTTTGGTGCGGGCTGACAGTGAAGGGTGGGTGGGCCGGAGTGACGACGAGGGCGGGGTGAATTTCTTTACAGACGATCCCACCGACTACATCAGCTGAGCACGCACACTTCATATGGACATATGGACAGCTGACAGTGAGGGGTGGGTGGGCCGGAGCGACGAGGGCGGAATGACACAGATGATCCCACCGACTACATCAGCTGAACACACACTCTTTATGGAAATATGGACATCTGACAGCGAGGGGTGGGTTGGACGCATGGGCAGACGTTTTTATGAGTCAACTCGGGTATCTTGTTGGTGTGAGCTGGCAGTGATGGATGATTGGGCACGGGTCTCCTGTCGACCCTCCTCTTCCTTCCCATTACCCACCTCGTCTCTATTGTAGGGCATAAGAAGCTTGCCGACATTAGGATTTGAACCCCCGCGCATTCTTCCACGCTCCCTCACCATACCACCTAGGGATTCGGTAGATCCAGTTTGATTACGGTAACTAGGATAGAATTGCATTCTGTATGGTGGGTCAGCGCACTCATACGTACTCTCCCAACACGACACCTGTAACCTTTAGATAGCCATCCCATCCCAGTGTCCACTTCCAATAGACCCCCACATTGCTGCCACTGCCTACCGTATGTTGGTGGTAGCTAGCGCGTGGGCAATGTACTGATCCGGGGCAATGGAGTGCACGGCCACAAAATTGTAGCAGTACCTGCAACAGAAACAAGTATGGCAAAGAGCCTTGGATTCTGCCCCAGATCTAGACACCACACTATTTTTTTTATTAGAAGCTCTACTATATCAGACACGCATGCATATTGTTTATATATGTATAAAGTGAGATGAATCAAATGAACTGATGTTCCTGAAGAATGAAAGATATAGCGTTGTGAACTCAACATCGAAAAAACCATAGAACATGCATTGCACAATAGTTAGGGCTGTCATGTTTTTAAGGATGGGTGTTGCGCGGTAAACACCCTCAGTAACTAGAGGTTCCCAACGAGTTAACTGCTTAAAAAAATCAGGCAGGGTGTCTATTGCGATTTTGGAGGGACGACGCCCAACTGCCAAATGCCACGACAGGCTGCAAATCGGTGGAAAATTTGCAGTGAAGGATTGTCTCATTCAAAGATGCGATGTGCTCCATTTGGATTGGCCCTGAGAGGTGGCGTGTGCTTGAATCTGATCGTTCGATGAAGAGATGGGCGGTTATACGATCGGAGTGTTTGAGATTTAGAGGCTCAAATCTCGCTGACGTGACAAGGACGCTTCTGTTCATTGTTAGTTGGTGCATGGCACTGGAGAACACGGCTCGCATTCGATGGTTCTTTGCGGCCATCGTCTCACATTACAAATGAGTTGACCCTACCTTGTAGTGAAGCTTGTGTAGTACAGTACTACAGTTAGTGATTGAACTAGTGCAATATATTTCCCACCTACAGTTAGTATGGAATCCAGTAATTTCTTCTTCAACCATAGAGTACAGCACTGCTTTGCTGAGTGTGCAACAAGGTTTGCTTTTAGGGCGCAGCAGGTTGATTGGTAAAAGTGTAAACCTCACTGAATCCGAGGCCAAGGAATAGAGGCTGTAAAAGTTTTGGGATGCGCACCCCGGTGGGGATGGACCATTGGGGGGGCTTGGGGACAATGTGGCAGCAAGAAACCTGTCGTATCTGTTGTCCTTATCCAAACCCTCTCTGTTCAGTTGCCGGACAATGCCCTCTGCTGGAATACTTGTCGCTGCATCGTTTGTAACTGTTTTGGTGTCGGCAGGTTTTTCATTGACGATCTTTGCAGGGTGGTCTTGGCAGTTTCCGCCTCTCCGTGTTCTGTTCTGTGTGTGGCCCTACATTCTAAAAATACGTTAAATTGAGGGCTGAAGGTAAAAAGATATTCATTTTCCAGATCGCAAAGAGCCGTGGAGTGTTCTACCGGTAAGTAGCCACGCTCGGTGCGAGACTGACACTATCCTGATTTATGCACAGTTGAGCCCAAGCGCCAGACCCCTTGACTAGTGCTTTGCTCGAAATCGAGGGAACCTCGAATCGAAGTGTGTCTGCATTTCGGAATTTCTATACGCTCTGAAAAGACGGTTTATGTGTTCCTCCGTTCCAAGCGTGAGAATTGGATGAGATGAGAGACGACTGGAGCTCGAAATGCGCCTTCACGGAAAGCACTTAAACTCTTAGAGGAATGAAACTTTAGTTTTCCCGGTGGGAAACTGAGGTCCTCTTAATTTTACAACTTAAGGTCTACCCAAAAGTCGACTAGGTCAGTCTCGTTATTGGAGGCCGAAGACTTTCACACAGTGACAACTTTCCCGTGCAGGCCACCACGAGCCATTGGGTGGTGGTGATGTACAGTTTTCCTCGCTGACAAGGATAGGGTTTTACTCGCTCAGATCGTGTTGATCCCCCGAATCTCTCTGTGGTTCAGCATTCCGCGCACGCTCCCCTTCCGGAAATTTCGTTCGCTTGCGAAGCTGCCCCTACTGTATCATCGAGTTTTTTCCACTCAGAGCTCCCCCGACCTCCAGCACACATTTCCCTCCCCCTGCCCCAATTCCTCCGTTGCACTGCACATATCATCGTGTTTCCGCTCACAAGGGTGCGCCTTTCTCCCAATCCTTGCTTGATTCTTGGGACACATTCATTCTGCGCCACTGCCCAAGTCAGTTCTTGTCGCGCTGGCAGAGCGCATTCTCCACCCACCTCAGGACCAGACTTCTCTCCCAGTCGGAGCTCACCTCTCGCACTTTTCTTTCGTGCAAATGCTGCTGGTGCAGCCCAGTCATCCCCGCCCGCCCAATACAACTCTGTTCTCCACCAACCCCCCCATCTCCGCAGACCTCCGCACCGCAACCAGCAACGGTGTGCAGTGAGATTTTTTCGCCCGGCTCCCCCATTGTCCTCCACTCCACCACCACCCCCGCGTCCCCCTAGGGGGCTCCCTCGCTGGCTCCCCTTCCCCCCTGTCCACCGCGTTGATTCTTTCACCTTTTTGACGTCGTGAAGGACGAGATCCCGTTTCTGCTTTGCGTCCTATACAAATCACCCGCGCCGACGCCATTTCCGACAACTCCCAAGTTTGTTTTCGCTTCTTGTTCCTTTTACAAGACCCTTCTTCAGCACGTCTTTCATTCCCCTTTCTCATCCATCACTTTCCTTTCCGACAAGCGGATCCTCGCACCCTCTACTTCACGCTCATTGCTGCGCAGCTGCTTTCTTCGTCCTCTTCCCGCTGCATTTTGTGTCACGCTTCTGCGAAGCACCGGGGTCCCGCGTAACGCCTCATTCTATTTTGAGCGGCGAAGCCTTCCGGTCCTTATTAGAGGACAAATTTAGTTGTCACGCGCGTTTGATAGAGTAAAACCGACACTTGATTGATCATCACCTCTTTTTTTCGCGGCGCTCTTCGCCGTGCCTATTACTTTCGTGAAGGACATCGACAACCTAACAAACACGCATTTTCGACCGCAACCTAAACATTTCCGCAAAGTTCTTGGGAAAGAACGACAGTTGCCGTCCAAGTCTCGAAGTCTGAGCCCTTGTAGGGATATTCATCAGCTTCATCAGCGGTTCTGCATCTTTCTTCTGTTACTCTTCTCCGTTGCGGAACGTGGTACTCCGCTTCACGTCGTGTCGCGGCTTCATATCAAGTTACTACTCCGCTGCTTCTTCGAGAGGTCGCGCGCATCATTTTGTGTTACTCAAGCGATCCATTCCGCTATGGCGTACCAAGATGCGCAGAACCCGCCGAAGCTCACGCTTCAGTATCAATGGTCTTCGTCGCTTCACGCGCATGTGAGATTCCGAGTTTTCAACACGCTAATATGTAACATTCCTCGCGCAAGCATTTCTTTTTATTTTTCCAGCCTTTTCGATTTCGCTCCTTCAAAGGATCGTTACTCGGGAATTTAACGGCGGCACACCTGACTTTGCCTTTCCCGTGCATTTTTTGCGAACGTTTTTTGTTTTTGTTTTTTTTTTGCAGATGAAGGTTTCTCAGTTGTCCCAGCCTACAGACATCCCTCCATTCAAGTCGTCGACGTCGTCTGCGCTAGGGTCTATAACTGCTAACGACGGTTCAGACATTCCGACGTCGCAAGGCGACAACGCATTGGACGCTGGAATGATATTTCTTGGCGGTCACCGCACGCGCCCGAACTGGTCGCCGCAGGTAATTGAGTCTGATAGCTCTCGCGAAATGGTCAACATACTTATTTTTTGGGTGTTGCTTGCTGAGTGAGTAGCGTCTTTTATTGACGGTACAAGCCTGTGAGAGACAGGCTTCTTAGGTTTTGACGGTAGACATGACTGGGTGGTTTGATGATGGGTGCTCGAGTCCTCTCCCTCTTTGACCTGCTAAAGTTTCCTTGCTTTGATGATGTGTTCTTTTAACGAGTCTTATCCGACAACTCTCTCTTCCTATTCGTCCTCGAGATTTCCGTCAATGACAATTTTCCCAACTCTCGATAGTGTTTGTTTACCCCAAAGATTTGTTTTCGTCCTTGGATTTATCTTTCCATTGTGTTGGGTTTTTCCCTCCTCAATCTGTCAATTTGTCAATTTCTCTATTTCTGTGTGGTACAGGAGGACCTGATTCTGCTGCAGCATGTTGCTCGCCATGGCACGCGCAACTGGGGTTCGCTTCAGGCGAGCGGTATGCTGCCGCTCCGCGACCAGAAGGCCTGCTGCAACCGCTTCATTCTCCTCAAGAAGTACGACTTCCATTCTTGTTAGTCGAAATGCATCCAGCGCGTTTCGCTCAATGGTTCGATCGACGCGCGTTTCGCGCGTCGACTCTGAAGTTTGTTGACGCTGTGTTTAATGTTACGTCGTTCTCCGTTTTCCCGCGGTTTGTTCGCAGGCGGTGTATCAAGGACAAGCGGAGCCTCTCGCATCTGCTTCACCGCGCCAAAGACTCCGTCGTCGCACCCGAGGCTAGCACTCAGCAGAACCAGATTGCGTCGTCGAGCTCCTTGGCAACTCCTTCCTTTTCGAGCCAACTGCAGCTTCCGGTACGTCGTAACGTCGCATATTAGGGTTGCGTCGCGCACTTCAATATTTTTTCCGCAATGTCAATCGTTAAGGTTTTTTTTCATGGCGTCTTAGGCTAACGCTTTCTGTGGGCTTTGGTCAGGCATTGAGCGGCGCCAGCCTTGGCCTCAACAGCAAATCACGGCCCTCGTTCAAGAGCGGAAGTCCCACCAGCGCTTCCGCCATCGCCGCCGCTACCGCGGCCTTCAATGCTCCTTCCGCCCCAGCGTCACCGACCGCTGTTCGAAGTCCCGTTTCCTTTGTCCAGCAGGAGCAACAGCAGCAGCAAAAGATTCAGCAGGCACTTGCTGGTTCCGCTTACTTACAGCAGCCTGGTGCTAACACTTCCAACGCGGCTTTGGGAAGCGGAAACTTTTCAGGGGTTCCGCTTCTCCAGATGCCTGCGCTCAATCCGTCGACGCCTCTCAGCATGTCCATGCAGCTCGCCAATCTCAAGTGAGTATCGCTCATTGAACGCAATGCAAACTGCACCATCTGTTTCTCACGCGCTCTTCTCTTCACTCTCCTGATACCTGATCTGGTCTCACTTTTCTCTGTTCCTAACGATTTGCTTCGTTTGCCTGATCCCGCTTTGCTCTCTCCACCAGGTCGCGATTGGCTCTCCAGCCTGGCTCGCTCCTCGCGCAAGCCCTTCGCCTGACGCAGCAGCCAGACTTCGCGTCAGTCGCCGATCTTCCCCTCCTCACGAACGTGCGGAAACTCGCCAAATCGTCATCCTCGTCGTCTCTCACCGCAGCAGCATCTGCTCCAGCTGCGGTCGGCTCTCCTCCCTACTCTTCTGCTCCCTCTGGCTGCTCCTCCCCGTCAGACGTCGCTGCGGCAAGCGAGCCGCTAATTTCGCGACGGTCTTCTCTTTCCTCGACCGGCGTGTGTCGGTCATCTAATGCGTTGTTCGCTGCTGCTGATGGAATCCATGGCACCGGTCGCTTCGCTCCAGTTGCGCGCATGCCGTCGTTTGATGTCAGTTCGGTCTGCACAGGCCTGGCTTCTGCCACTGTTCCTGGTAGTGCTTCTGCTGATGCGTCTGCTGAAGCTGTTGTGCCTTCATCTGTTCTTCCTGTCGTTTCTGCTGCGAGTGGCCACACTTTCACGGGCGGTGGTGGTGGAGTGGAGGGAGGTGGTGGTGGAGGCGCCGACGATGCTTTCGCTCCTCTGCCCAACTCCTGCTTCACTGCTCTTCTCACCTCCTCTGCCTCCGTCAATCATCGCCTCGCTTCGATGGCAGCTCCAGCGCCTGTGATTTCCCACACGTGGAGGCCACAGGGCAACGCCAGGTGCCTTCAGAAGTCGTTGCCTGTGGAGTCAGGGAGTGGGGAGAGCCGGGAGATGCAGATTCAGCAGCAACAAGTGTACCGGTTTCAGCAGCAGGCTCTGAACTTGAAGCTGCAACAGCAGCAGCAACAGGAAGAGGAAGGAGAGCAGCAAGTCATGTCCCAGCGGCCTGATGTGATGCTGCTGGAGGCGTTTTCATCTGCTCGCCACACCAGTAATGAGAGTCTTCATTGCAGTCAGAATGACCTCCAGCAAATGCTCGATGCTGGTTCAGGAGATGCATGGGGTGCTCTGAACACAACTGAGGATGCAAGATTTGCTAATATTATTTCCAGTGGTTCGCTTGAGGCTGTGGTTGCGGGCAGTGGTCATATTTCCGAGTTTCCTCTGACTTCCTTAGATGATCAGAAGCCGGTGGGAGGTCCTGATTTCCAAAGCGAGGAGGCGATGTTCTCGTGTCTCTCCCACAATGGCATGTTTGCTGACATGCCCGCGAGCTTCTCAGAGTCTGACATGCTCCAGGCGATACATGCTGAGATGGAGGTGAGTTAGTGTGACCATTTTTCTTGAGACTGTTATTCCTGTACTGTACGCATCGACAGCTTCTCTTGCACTGCAATCTTGCTGACTGTTGTCCCATTTTTATCTCTCTTTTTGCAGATGCTCAGCTCAATTGTCAATGCATCGTAATGGATATTTGAGACTCCTGTACCACGTTTGTGTTTACTGAACCGTTTTTCGCAAGAGTCTTGTGTCTTGTTTGGCCATGAATCTGCAGTTCATGTGCCTTTTTCCCACCCACGTGGTGGCTGCAAGTGCATAGGCCCTTGGGTTTGTCGTAGTCCCCTTTTTTATTGCATGGTGATCCTTGTAACAAGGAGCTCCATTAGCATATAAGCTTCCACTTGTTTTTGTTTCATGTCGATGGAAAGGAGAAGACAGTGGATGTAATCAGCTTAGAAACCGATTCACAAATTCGAAGGATTGTGTTGCTTCGCGAAGTGCGCGATGTCGCCTGGTGCAAGCACGAAAGCCTTTGCGAAAGTAGTTACCCTTGTATAACAGTTTCGCCTTAGATCGCCACAACTCAAGCTCCCCTGCTCCTGGCAGCTTTTGCGCGGCTGAATCCTGCCAGGCACCACGTGACAGTCCTTTGAATCTGTTTTCAAATCACCACTGTAGAAGGTATGCCTATCAGCGAATCCAGCCAGACATTCTGAACCAGCACTATTGGTCCGTCGCCTCGCTCGCAGTCTAGCTTTTAGTCTTCGCAAGCCTACGTCTCTAGACTGGGCAGAGCCTGGCCAGGGCTACTTTGTCCGTTTCTGCCGTTTCGAGCTAGCCAGGGAACAAGCCCTTGCTGGTAGAAGCCTGTTATTGATCGACGGTCCCAGATGGTCTAGTTGAATTCGTGGTCGTGCGGGGTGGAAGATCCGCGGTTGTCAAGTGGGCGGAGAGGTGTTAGCAGCCGTTGCCGAACTGTCGGCCAGCAGTTGTGCTGGGATGTAGGCTTTGATTCGTACTGAAACCACGGTTCAAGCATCTTATCAAGTAGACATCCGAGGCATCAAGTCTGGCATTCCCGGTCCGTGCGTCTGCTGGTCTCAGGCCAGCTCCTAGGAGAGCGATCGAAAGCGGGTTATTGTACGGCTTGTGACTGTAGGGTGGGTGATTTCCGGGTTGTTGGCTAAAGAGCGAGTGACTATAGGGGTCGGTGACTATAACGTCGGCGACTGTATCGAAGCGAGGCGATGGAGAGCCTCGCACATCTGGAAGGGTTGTGCGAGCGACTGTACAATTCGCAGGATCCGGCGGAGCGATCGCACGCGGAGCAAACCCTATTGTGCTTCTCGACGAGCACGGAGTACATCACGCAATGCCAGTACATCCTCGATAACTCCTCCTCACCCTACGCGCAAGTGCTCGCCAGCTCGAGCCTCGTGAAGCAGGTCACGGACCACAGTCTGCCGGTGCAGCTACGACTCGATATACGTAAGATTCGGTACCTGTTATAGGGGTTTCGCAGGGCCAGTACATCTTGGATAACTCCTCGCCCTACGCCCAAGTGCTCGAGCTGCACGGAACGTACCACACTCTGCCGGTGCAACTACGACTCGATATACGCAAGCCTTGATGCTTAATGTCTCGTCGTTGCACATCCTACGCGGGTTTCTCTGCGTTTTGCAAACGGCATCATGGCGAGGTTCACTGAACAGAAAGCTTAAGACTCTCATGTCCTTCTCTATACTTCATCGGCCTTGCGACTGCCTTACATCAATTTTACCTCGACATTCCCCTGGCTTCGCGCTTTAACCTTGAATATTATCGGAATTGCGCGATAATGATGTAACATAAGCTGCATTGTAGTGCGTGAATCCCAGCATTGCCGCTTCTCGCTGTTCTGGTCATTCCTGTATCCCTTTCTGTCTCCTTTGATTACCTGTGCATGCGTACCTTTCAGGCAACTACGTGGTGTCCTTCCTGGCCACCAAGGGACCCAAGGCGGAGCCGTTTGTGACGGCGTCTCTGCTGCAGCTGCTGTTCCAGTTATTCTTATTTCAGGATCTCAAAAAGCTTCCTTTCCTCCTTCCCTTGTGGGTGTTTGTCCCCCCCTTCAGGCAACTACGTGGTGTCTTTTCTAGCCACCAAGGGACCCAAGGCGGAGCCGTTTGTGACGGCGTCTCTGCTGCAGCTGCTGTTCCAGTTATTCTTATTTCAGGCTCTCAAAAAGCTTCCTTTCCTCCTTCCCTTGTGGGTGTTTGTCCCCCCCTTCAGGCAACTACGTGGTGTCTTTTCTAGCCACCAAGGGACCCAAAGCAGAGTCCTTCGTGACAGCTTCTCTGGTGCAGCTGCTGTGCCGGATCTCCAAGCTGGGGTGGTACGACGACGAGCGGTTCAGAGACATCGTGGACGAATGCACCAAGTTCCTCGCACAGGTGCGACTGTGTGATTATCTAGGCTACAGTTTACAGGTACATGTGACGGTGAAACCAGGCCTCACTGGTGCAGCTGCTGTGTCGGATCTCCAAGCTGGGGTGGTATGACGACGAGCGATTCAGAGACATCGTGGATGAATGCACCAAGTTCCTCGCACAGGTGCGGTGTGTGCTTGCGTGTGTGCTTGCGTGTGTGCGTGCAGGTGTGCGTGCAGGTGTGCGTGCATGTGCTTCTGCAGAAATTGCCGGTGTGTGTCTTGCGTGGCATTGCATTGCGTTCAATGGCTGTGCATGTGCATGTGCATGTGCAAGTGCACCTTATGCGCACTTGGTGCTCCCTCGCTGCCATCCCTCACTGACCGTCCATTTAATTTCATTGCCGTGCATCGCACACTGCGTTGTGTGTGTGTCTGTGTGTGTGCGTGTATGTGCGTGTGTGTCTGTGTGTGTGCGTGTATGTGTGTGTGTGTCTGTGTGTGTGCGTGTATGTTTGTGTGTGTGTGTGTGTGTGTGTGTGTGTGTGTGTGTGTGTGTGCGCGCGCGTGTGCGTGCGTTCATGCGTGCGTGCGTGCATGCGTGCGTGCGTGTGTATGTGTGTGTGTGTTCCGGCATGGCATGGCACGGCGTTACATGCAGGGTACAGCGGAGCATTTCTTCCTAGGCCTCAAGATTTTCAACCAGCTCGTGGCAGAGATGAACCAGGTGCGTGCGTGCATGTGCATGACTGGACTGTTTTTTGTAACTCTCATGCCGCCTTAAAAGCCTAATATGCCAATCTGCCAACTCTAGCTGGGGCTGGGAGTGGCATCCTGATATCACCAAAAAGCCTGCCTACACTAGGCATCCGGCTCCTTGACTCTATTGTTATTTCCGACTGTGTCAGATTACCCGTTCTTGCCCTGCTTTCTCCCCTCATTCTTCCTACCTGCTTGCTTGCAGCCGAGTCCAGGCCGGTCCCTAACCTTCCATCGCAAGACAGCCTGCTCCTTCCGAGACCTGGCGCTCTTTGCCATCTTCCAGATCTCCCTCACCAGCCTCCGACAGTTGCAGTCCGACGGTGAGTGCTGCTCGCTTTACAAAGGTTGCTTTGCCACAGCTCAGCTGATCCCGCGGCCTACCCATGCACTTTCAAGGCCAGGCCTTGGCGCTCTTTGCCATCTTCCAGATCTCCCTCACCAGCCTCAGACAGCTGCAGTCCGACGGTGAGTGTCTAAACACTTCGTTACTTGGGCACGGCTCAGCCGTTCGGCCTAACCAAGCTACTCAAAGGTCATGTCTTGACTCTTATTCTCCATCTTTCAGATCTCCCTCACCAGCCTCAGACAGCTGCAGTCCGACGGTGAGTTGCCGTTCAGTTCAACCCAGCTTTCTTCTCTTAAACCCAACAATCCCAAGGCCATTGCTTGGCCCGCTTACCCATCTTCGCTCCCGCGCACCTGATGCTTGGCCTCACCAGCCTGCGCTCCCTCGCTCTGCTCTGCTTGTCCCTTCAGCTTCACTCTCACCTCCCTCCCCTGCGTCCCCACTCCTTGCCCTCTCGTTTTTTCCTCCAGCTGATGGCAAGTTGCGGGCAGAAGCAGTCTCCCTGGCGCTGCGCTGCCTCTCCTTTGATGTCGTTGGTACATCGCTGGACGAGGGCTCGGAGGACCTGGGAACCATCCAGGTGCCGTCTCCGTCTCTCCTTCACGATCAACCCAACCAGCCCCCTTTCCCCTGCCCTCTTCTTCCCCTCCAGCTGACGACAAGCTGAGGGCGGAGGCAGTCTCCCTGGCGCTGCAGTGCCTCTCGTTCGACTTTGTCGGGACGTCACTGGACGAGAGCTCGGAGGAGCTGGGAACCATCCAGGTGCCTTCTCCATCACTCCCTCAACTCGTCCAACCCGCTCCCCCTACCCCCTCCCTCCCCTCCAGCTGACGACAAGCTGAGGGCGGAGGCAGTCTCCCTGGCGCTGCGCTGCCTCTCGTTCGACTTCGTGGGCACGTCATTGGACGAGAGCTCAGAGGAGCTGGGAACCATCCAGGTGCCTTCGTCGTGGAGGGCAGTGCTGGAGGACACGTCCACCATGCAGCTCTTCTTCGACTACTATGCCGCCACCAAGCCCCCCCTTTCAAATCAGGTGCGCCCCCCCAAGCCCTGATAGATACCGACCACGTGAGCCGCCCCTTCCCCCTGCGCCTGAGACAGGGTGTGAGGTGAGAGGAGGAGGAGGAGGAGGAGACGAGGGATGACTGGCTGTGGGAGTGCAGGGGCTGAGCGATTGTTGGGGCAGGGAGGTGCGGTTCTCCCTCGTGGAGGGCAGTGCTGGAGGACACGGCCACCATGCAGCTCTTCTTCGACTACTATGCCGCCACCAAGCCCCCCCTTTCAAATCAGGTGCGCCCCCCCAAGCCCTGATAGATGCCGACCAGGTGAGCCGCCCCTTTCCCCAGCGCCTGAGACAGGGTGTGAGGTGAGAGGAGGAGGAGGAGGAGGAGGAGACGAGGGATGACTGGCTGTGGGAGTGCAGGGGCTGAGCGATTGTTGGGGCAGGGAGGTGCGGTTCTCCCTCGTGGAGGGCAGTGCTGGAGGACACGGCCACCATGCAGCTCTTCTTCGACTACTATGCCGCCACCAAGCCCCCCCTCTCCAACCAGGTCAGCTCAAAGCCAACTCCACCCGCCTCTTCCCTATCTCTACTCACCAGGGCCCTGGGGTGCCTGGTGCGTCTAGCTTGCCACTTTGCCTGTCCCCGTTTCTCCCCACTCCCCTCAGGCCTTTGAGTGCTTGGTGTGTCTAGTTTCTATGCACCCCCCAACCCTCCTCCGCCCACCTTTTCTCTGTCCCTATTCCCTCCCACTACCCCTCCCCCAGGCCTTGGAGTGCCTGGTGCGTCTGGCCTCGGTCCGCCGCTCCCTATTCACAGGCGAGGCAGAGCGCCTCAAGTTCCTCTCGCACCTCATGAACTGCTCCACTGAGACCCTGTCCGCCTTTTTCTCCCCCTGCCCCTTGTCCTGCCGCCTTCTCCCCATCTCTCTCCCCACTCCCGCCAGGCTTTGGAATGCTTGGTGCGTCTAGCCTCGGTCCGCCGGTCGCTCTTCACGGGGGAAGCAGAGCGCCTCAAGTTCCTGTCGCACCTCATGAACGGCTCCACGGAGATCCTGCGCTCCAAGCAGGGCCTGTCGCAGCACGACAACTACCACCCATAGCACCCCAACCCCCAAACCACCCCTCTTCCCCTCCTCTGTTCCCCGTTCCACCTCCCCCCACCGTTCGCCCGTCTGTCCCCACCCCCCTGTCCCTGTATTGACGCCTTTTTCAGGCTTTGGAATGCCTGGTGCGGCTGGCTTCAGTGCGTCGGTCGCTCTTCACAGGCACGACAAGTTGACAGCACGACAAGTTGACACTCACGGAGAGCACCCCAGCCCCCACACCACCTGTCTTTCCCTCCTCTGTCCCCCGTCCCCCCATAAACCCCCTGCCCCTGTATTGGCTCCTGTTTCCTCAGGCCCTGGAGTGCCTGGTGCGTCTAGCCTCCGTCTTTCCCTAGCCCCCACACCATCTATCTTTCCCTAGCCCCCACACTTCCCTCCTCTGTCCCCCGTCCCCCCATAAACCCCCTGCCCCTGTATTGGCTTCTGTTTCCTCAGGCCCTGGAGTGCCTGGTGCGCCTAGCTTCAGTGCGTCGCTCGCTATTCACAGGGGAAGCAGAGCGCCTCAAGTTCCTGTCACACCTCATGAACGGCTCCACGGAGATCCTGCGGTTCCCGTTCAACCTTTCCCCTGTCTGTCCCTCCTGTGTTTGCGCCTCTTTTCTCAGGCCTTGGAGTGCCTGGTGCGTCTGGCCTCGGTCCGCCGCTCCCTATTCACAGGCGAGGCAGAGCGCCTCAAGTTCCTCTCGCACCTCATGAACGGCCCCACGGAGATCCTGCGCTCCAAGCAGGGCCTGTCGCAGCACGACAAGTTGACACTCACGGAGAGCACCCCAGCCCCCACACCACCTGTCTTTCCCTCCTCTGTCCCCCGTCCCCCCATAAACCCCCTGCCCCTGTATTGGCTCCTGTTTCCTCAGGCCCTGGAGTGCCTGGTGCGTCTAGCCTCCGTCTTTCCCTAGCCCCCACAACATCTATCTTTCCCTAGCCCCCACACTTCCCTCCTCTGTCCCCCGTCCCCCCATAAACCCCCTGCCCCTGTATTGGCTCCTGTTTCCTCAGGCCCTGGAGTGCCTGGTGCGCCTAGCTTCAGTGCGTCGCTCGCTATTCACAGGGGAAGCAGAGCGCCTCAAGTTCCTGTCACACCTCATGAACGGCTCCACGGAGATCCTGCGGTTCCCGTTCAACCTTTCCCCTGTCTGTCCCTCCTGTGTTTGCGCCTCTTTTCTCAGGCCTTGGAGTGCCTTGTGCGTCTAGCCTCAGTGCGCCGGTCACTCTTCACAGGGGAAGCAGAGCGCCTCAAGTTCCTGTCGCACCTCATGAACTGCTCCACTGAGACCCTGTCCGCCTTTTTCTCCCCCTGCCCCTTGTCCTGCCGCCTTCTCCCCATCTCTCTCCCCACTCCCGCCAGGCTTTGGAATGCTTGGTGCGTCTAGCCTCGGTCCGCCGGTCGCTCTTCACAGGGGAAGCAGAGCGCCTCAAGTTCCTCTCGCACCTCATGAACGGTTCCACGGAGATCCTGCGCTCCAAGCAGGGCCTGTCGCAGCACGACAACTACCACGAGTACTGCCGCCTGCTGGGCCGCCTCAAGACCAACTACCAGCTGGCCGAGTTGGTGAATGCGGACAATTATGCCGAGTGGGTGCAGCTTGTAGCCGAGTTTACAATCACCTCGCTGCAGTCCTGGCAGGTGCGTGGGTGGGTTGGGCTGGGTGGGGTTGGGTGGGGTTGGGTGGGGTTGGGTGGGATTGGATGGTGAATTTGGTGCGGTGGGTGGGGTTGATGTGCTGTGAGCCACGGGTGGGTGGGTGAGAGGGCCTGTCGCAGCACGACAACTACCACGAGTACTGCCGCCTGCTGGGCCGCCTCAAGACCAACTACCAGCTGGCCGAGCTGGTGAACGCCGACAACTACGCCGAGTGGGTGCAACTTGTAGCGGAATTCACCATCACCTCGCTGCAGTCCTGGCAGATGCGTGGTATGAGTGGGCTGGGTGGGGTGGGGTTGGGTTGGGTGGTTCGGGTGGGTTGGATGGGGTTGCTGTGCTGTGTGTCGGGTGGGTGGGTGAGAGGGCCTGTCGCAGCACAGAAGCTACCAGCCGCTTGCTGGGCCGCCTCAAGACCAAATGCTTGCCTTACCCCTGCTCCCTCCCCCCCCACCCATATTCCCCCCCTCCCTCTCCCCCCTCCACCAGTGGGCGAGCGGCAGTGTGTATTTCCTGCTGGGCCTCTGGTCGCGCCTGGTCTCCTCAATGGCCTACACCAAGAGCGACTGTCCCAGCCTGCTGGATAACTTTGTGCCTCAGATTACGGAGGCTTACATAACATCCCGCCTCGACTCCGTTCAGGTTGGTAGTGGCCTACAGAAAAAAAAAAAAAGAAAAAAAAAGAGGGGGGGGGGGAGGGGGGGGGGGGGGGGGGTGTCATGGGTTAAGATACATGGTGCATGGGGCAAGATGCATGGAGCATGGCGCATGGTGCTTCAGATTCCAGACTTTATGGTGCATAGCATAATGCACAAGGCTGTTCTTCTGTCAATTCAGTGTTTGACGTTATGCTGCTTGGTTTTATCCCCCTTATAGGCAGTGCTTCAGAACAACCTATCAGAGGATCCGCTGGACAACGACGAGCAGCTACAAGACCAGCTAGACAATCTCCCCTACCTCTGCCGGTTCCAGGTATGTATGCACGTGCTGCTTTCCCGTCAGGCTTCAGCTCTGTATGTGTGGGTGAAAGAGGGGGGGTTGTGCGCTGGACAACGACGAGCAGCTACAAGACCAGCTAGACAATCTCCCCTTCCTCTGCCGGTTCCAGGTACGCATACATACACGTGTTGCTGTTTTTCCTTGAACGACGCGCGTGTGTGCGCGCGTGTTAAACAATGACGAGCAGCTACAGGATCAGCTAGACAACCTCCCTTACCTCTGCAGGTTCCAGGTATGAACAGATGTCTGAAAAGTCTCCCTTCAGCTGAAGGCTACAATTCTTCACAACAATATGTGATCGTCTTTCCCTCACCTCTCACTCCTCTCTCGTTTCTGCTTGCCTTCTCTGCAGTTTGACCGGACCAGCAAGTTCATCATCAGCCATCTAGAGCCCATCATGCAGTCATATACGGTGAGTCCGACCCTTACACTGCTATGGGGTATTGCTTGTAGTGCTAACAAATGTCTGCCTTGCTGATCGTGGACCTTGTGTCCGCGCTCGTTGTCAGTCATTACAACAGGTGACCCTCCCCCTCTTCCACCATCTTAGGAGGCGGCGCGGTGGCAGCCGGCTGTAGCAACGAGCAGCACAAACCAGGCAGCGCTACAGGTGATGGAGAGCCAGTCCTCCCTGCTCCTTCCCTTCCCTCTCCATCCCACCCTCCCCCGCACCCCCCCACTTTCAATTTTAATTATCACAGGAGGCGGCGCAGTGAGCCGCCTGTATCAGCGAGCAGCAGCAGCCAGGCAGCGCTACAGGTGATAAGAGCCAATCAACCCTGATCCTTCCCCTTCCCAACCCCCATCTTCCACCATCTTAGGAGGCGGCACGGTGGCAGCCGGCTGTAGCGGCGAGCAGCAGCAGCCAGGCGGCGCTACAGGTGATAAGAGCCAATCAACCCTGCTCCTTCCCCTTCCCAACCCCCATCTTCCACCATCTTAGGAGGCGGCACGGTGGCAGCCGGCTGTAGCGGCGAGCAGCAGCAGCCAGGCGGCGCTACAGGTGATGGAAAGCCAGCTGACGTGGATTGTGCACATCATTGGCGCCATTGTCCGGGGCCGACTCAGCTCCAGCAGGTGCTCCCTCGCTCACTCCCTCACTCACTCACTCCCTCCCTCACTCACTCACTCAGTATTCGTCTTTCCTACTTGATTCCTTTGGTATAGGTAGTGGCAAATAGCAGCAGCTGATGCAGTGCTAGCTACCTTTTCACACTCCTATTCCTTCACTCTCTCATTCTGTCACATGCTCACTCCCTCCTTCCCTCCCTCCCTCCCTCCCTCCCTCCCTCCCTCCCTCCCTCCCTCCCTCCCTCCCTCCCTCCCTCCCTCCCTCCCTCCCTCCCTCCCTCCCTCCCTCCCTCACTCACGCTGACTGAATTCCGAGAATACTTGCAGTGGCGATTCGCAGGAGCTGATTGATGGGGAGCTGGCAGCAAGGGTGTTGCAGCTCATTCAAGTCACCGACACAGGACTCCATGCACAGGTGAGGAGGGTGACTGAGGGGCGTCACAAAATGTGGCGCTTGAAAGGGGTGCCTGACGGGTAATACGAAGGACTGCAGGTCAGGGGGGGCGCATACATGCATGCCGGCTGGCAGCAAGGGTGTTCCAGCTCATTCAAGTCACCGACACAGGACTCCATGCACAGGTGAGGAGGGTGACTGAGGGGCGTGACAAAAGGTGGCGCTTGAAAGGGGTGCCTGACGGGTAATACGAAGGAAGTCACTGACACAGGACTCCATGCACAGGTGAGGAGGGCTGCACGCACAGGTGGGGCCTGGCTGAGGGGTTGCTAGTATGGACGACGGCTTGATGCTGCCGTGCATGCCTACTGCCGTGCTACGGTGAGTGCAGCAGGCAGCAATTGGACTCTGAAGCGCTCTCCTCTACTGCTACTCACAGTCACATCTCTCTTCTCGTGCCTGCGCTTGCCCCTGCGCATTGATATCCCCCTCCTTCTCCCCCCCAGCGCTATGACGAGCGCAGCAAGCAGCGGTTGGATTTCGCGGTGCTCTCCTTCTTTCAGAATTCAACCATCTCTTCCATTCCCCATCCTTTCCTTTCCTTCCCTCTCTCCCTCGTACTCTTTTTATCTCCTCTCAGCGCTACGACGAGCGCAGCAAGCAGCGGTTGGACCTGGCGGTGCTCTCCTTCTTTCAGAACTCAACCATCTCTTCCATTACCCATCCTTTCCTTTCCTTCCCTCTCTCCCTCGTACTCTTTTCCTCTCCCACCTCAGCGCTATGACGAGCGCAGCAAGCAGCGGTTGGACCTGGCGGTGCTCTCCTTCTTTCAGAACTTCCGCCGCGTCTACGTGGGCGACCAGGCCATGCACGCCTCCAAGGTGGACACCGTTGAGCCATGCCTGGGTGCCAAGGTGACATGCATGCTGAGGTAACACGTCTAGTGTACGTTCCTGATGCTGCTGTCTACGTGGGCGACCAGGCCATGCACGCCTCCAAGGTGGACACCGTTGAGCCATGCCTGGGTGCCAAGGTGACATGCATGCCATGGTCGCTGTGCGTGGGCCCAAGGTAGCTCGCTTACCTGTAGCTGGTAGGTCGCTACGTTGGCGACCAGGCCATGCACGCCTCCAAGATGGACCTCATTCTGCCCTTTCTGGGCGCCAAGGTGACATGCATGGTTAGGTTAAGTTGTATCACACGCCACATGGCTGTAGCACGACCACTATGGGCACTTGCAGCTGTAGGTCGCTGTGTGGGCGACCAGGCCATGCCATGCACGCTTCCAAGGTGGACCTCATTCTCCCGTGCCTCGGCTCGCAGGTGACTGGTCATGTCTAGGTTGTAGCAGCACAGGCTACATGGCTGTCTTGCTTGTCGCACATTTAGTGTAGTGTGTACCTGATGATGGTCACATTGGGCGATCGGACCATGCACGCCTCCAAGGTGGACCTCATTCTCCCGTGCCTCGGCTCGCAGGTGACTGGTCATGTCTAGGTTGTAGCAGCACAGGCTACATGGCTGTCTTGCTTGTCGCACATTTAGTGTAGTGTGTACCTGATGATGGTCACATTGGGCGATCGGACCATGCACGCCTCCAAGGTGGACCTCCTTCTCCCGTGCCTCGGCTCGCAGGTGACTGGTCATGTCTAGGTTGTAGCAGCACAGGCTACATGGCTGTCTTGCTTGTCGCACATTTAGTGTAGTGTGTACCTGATGATGGTCACATTGGGCGATCGGACCATGCACGCCTCCAAGGTGGACCTCATTCTCCCGTGCCTCGGCTCGCAGGTGACTGGTCATGTCTAGGTTGTAGCAGCACAGGCTACATGGCTGTCTTGATTGTCGCACATTTAGTGTAGTGTGTACCTGATGATGGTCACATTGGGCGATCGGACCATGCACGCCTCCAAGCCAAGGTGTTCAACTTTTAGCCCTGTCTGGGCTCGCTCACTCATCTAGGTGACATGTCTGGGCGTGCAGGTCCTCAGGTGACTCAGCTTCCAAGCCAAGGCGTTCAATTTTTAACCCTTCCCCGCGTCTTTTACCCTCTCGTGTGACCTCCCTTCACAGATTCTCTATGCCCGCCTGGCAGACCTGCTGGGTCTGCAAGATCACCTGATGTGATGGTGCCCTCTTACCTGCTGCTTCATCCCTCCTCCCTCTCCCTCACTCCTCGACTCCCCGCCCCCTCTCACCCTTGCTCATCCTCCTTCCCTCCCTTCACAGATCCTCTATGCCCGCCTGGCTGACCTACTGGGCTTGCAAGACCACCTGATGGTTCTCAACGTGATTGTAGCAAAGATAGCCACCAACCTCAAGTGCTACACCAAGGTGCGTGTGCTGTTTTCCATGCCGGGATAAGCTATCATGAGGCTTGCAAGATCACCTCATGGTGCTCAACGTGATTGTGGCAAAGATAGCCACCAACCTCAAGTGCTACACCAAGGTGCGTGTGCTGTTTTCCATGCCGGGATAAGCTATCACGAGGCCTGCAAGATCACCTGATGGTTCTCAACGTGATTGTGGCAAAGATAGCAACCAACCTCAAGTGCTACACCAAGGTGCGTGTGCTGTTTTCCATGCCGGGATAAGCTATCACGAGGCCTGCAAGATCACCTGATGGTTCTCAACGTGATTGTGGCAAAGATAGCAACCAACCTCAAGTGCTACACCAAGGTGGGATATTCAGCCGCTTTTTTTTCACATTCTCTTCCCGTGCTTTCCTTCTCCTGTTTCGCAGCTGTTGCCACTTTTTCCGCCCGGAATGTTTTCTAATTAACACCACTCTACCAATATCTCTCTATCACCCCTCTCCCTCTACTGGTATCAGAGCGAGGACGTGATCGAACAAACGTTGAACCTTTTCCAAGAGCTTGCAGGGGGGTGAGTTTGGGTGGTGGGGGGAAGGGGGGGGAAAGGGGGGCTAGAGTTAAAACTGGGATGAAATTCTTAATGGTTGGATACCTATTTGGTTCTCATTGCACTACTTTCTTCATGTTTACCATCCCTTTCACCTACCCATAGTCTTGCCCCATGCGCTGCTCCCTCTTTCCCTCCCACCCATCCACACTCCTCCCTTTCCAGCCCACTTGTGCTGCTCCTGCCACCAATTTCTCTCCTTTGAATTCCTTCTCCAAATCTTTTATTCCTCTCTCTCACCCCTCTCTCTCAGCTACATGAGTGGCAAGCTGCTGTTGAAACTGGACTCTGTCAATTTTATCCTAGCCAATCACACAGTAAGTGCAGGGTTCAAGAAGGGGAGAGAGGAGGTGTGTGCGTGTATGCACACGCGCGAGTGTGTGCATCTGGTTTGCAACCCCATAAAAGCACGTGAAAATCCGATCAAGCACCTTTTGTGTGCCCCATCACATCCAATTGGCCGCGTGTTTATGGTCTTGCCTGCAGTTGTTTCTAGCCATTGGATCGTCAGGAATGGCTGGTTTAGATCTGCTCCAATGCCACACCCTGCCCCCTGATCTCCATTGCTGCCCTGCCACGCGTCCTGCTGTGATTGGCAGAGCGAGCACTTCCCCTTCCTGGACGAGCCGAGCAGCACGCGCAATCGCACCATCTTCTACTTCACCCTCACCCGCCTCCTCTTCATGGAGGACTCGCCCCAGAAGTTTAAAGCCTTCGTGGCCCCTCTGCAGCTGGTAAGGCGCTGGTCTGTCACAGGCGTCACAGACTTACCGTGTAGCAAGGGGTAAAGGCCAACCGCACCATCTTCTACTTCACTCTCACGCGCCTCCTATTCATGGAGGACTCGCCCCAGAAGTTCAAAGCCTTCGTGGCTCCCCTTCAGCTGGTAAGGCGTTGGTCTGTCAGGACTCACCGGCTAGCAAGGAATAAGGTAAAGGCCAATCCCACCATCTCCCACTTCACTCTCACACGCCTGCTCTTCATGGAAGGCTCGCCCCAGAAGTTCAAAGCCTTTATGGCACCTCTTCAGCTGGTAAGGCGCTGGTGTGTCACAGGCGTCACAGACTCACAGCCTAGCAAGGTGTAAAGGCCAACCGCACCATCTTCTGCTTCACGCTCACACGCCTCCTTTTCATGGAAGACTCGCCCCAGAAGTTCATCAAAGCATTCGTGGCACCTCTTCAGCTGGTGAGCGCTTTGCCTTGGTATGACAGCCAAGCATCGTCTTGGGTACTTTCCACCAGCTGCCTTTCAACTGCCAGTCCAATCGATCATGCCATCGTCTACTTCACTCCCAACCCTCCCTCTCGCCGCACCGCACCCCTCATCACCCCTCACCACCCAGGTGTTCGTGAAGCTCGAGCCAATGCCAGATGCACCTTCCTGCAGCAAGCCAGTCAAAGCATGTGCTGACCCCTATCCCTACACCATTCGCCACCCCTCATCACCCCTCACCACCACACAGGTGTTTGTGAAGCTGGAGTCTATGCCAGACGCCTCCTTCCGCACAGAGCCAGTCAAGTTCGCCCTCATCGGCCTCTTCAGAGACTTGAGAGGAATCACCATGGCCACCAACAGGTAGGCAACGAGCATTTTGCCTTAGCCAGCGTGACTTGACTTGTGCTGAGTACATGGACCATGGTGTACCATCATCAGCTGGTCAAGTTCGCCCTCATCGCCCTCTTCAGAGACTTGAGAGGAATCACCATGGCCACCAACAGGTACCAGTACAAGCTGTTATTCTATCATCCAGTGATTGTTGCTGCACTATGTGACTTTTGAGTCGACTCAAAAGGTGACTTTTGACTTTTGAGTCGACTCAAAAGTCACCTAACAGGTACCAGTACAAGCTGTTATTGTATCATCTAGTGATTGTTGCTGCACTATGTGACGATCTACATTATCTCCCAGTAAGTGCTGTAAAACATCTGTATTTTTTTACCCCCTTCACCCGTCGCACCGAATCTACCCCGTCTACATGCCCTTTTTCTCCTTCCGCCCTGACCCGCTCTTCCCCTCCCCTCCCCTCGCCTCCCCTCCCATCCCCTCCCCTCCTCTCCCCTCCCCTCCCCTCCCCTCCCCTCCCCTCGCCTCCCCTCCCCTCTCCTCCCCTCCTCTCCCCTCCCCTCCCCTCCCCTCCCCTCCCCTCCCCTCCCCTCCCCTCCCCTCCCCTCCCCTCCCACACCCGTTTGACCCCCCCCATGACAGCCGGCGCACGTTCGGGCTGCTGTTTGACTGGCTCTACCCCGCCCACATGCCGCTCATTCTGCGCACCGCCCAGTTCTGGTCCGACACCCCCGCGGTCACCACGCCGCTCCTCAAGTTCTTCGCCGAGTTTGTGGTCAACAAGACGCAGCGCCTCACCCGTTCCCCTGCCGTACCTCCCTTGTGTTCCCTTCCCTCCACCAGGTCACCACGCCCCTCATCAAGTTCTTTGCTGAATTCGTGGTCAACAAGATGCAGCGCCTCACCTTTGACTCACCTGCAGGCTGCTCTTCTGACTGGCTATACCCCGCCCTCATCCCTTGTTATTTCCTGCGTTCGTCGTGACCTGCTCTCCCCCCCCCACCCCATGGCAGCCGGCGCACGTTCGGGCTGCTCTTTGACTGGCTGTACCCGGCCCACATGCCGCTCATTCTGCGCACCGCCCAGTTCTGGTCCGACACCCCCGCGGTCACCACGCCTCTCCTCAAGTTCTTTGCCGAATTCGTGGTCAACAAGACGCAGCGCCTCACCTTTGACTCGTCGTCGCCAAATGGCATCCTGCTCTTCCGGGAAGCTTCCAAGCTGGTGGTGACGTACGGCAAGCACGCCCTTGCCATGCCCACCGGCGCACACCCTTACACGGCCAAGTACAAGGGCGTGTGGATCGCACTCACTGTGCTCACGAGAGGTAATGCTCAGCATGCTTTCACAGCAGACATGATCCTTTGGTGTGCATTTATGCCTACACCCTGAAGCACCTTACTGTATGGTGGTACTGCTTTTGCTGTAAAGCACCTTAGAACACCAGTCCCCCTTCCGCCTTCCAACCCACCAAATGTGTTCCACTCCATGCAGCCCTCGCGGGAAAGTATGTCAATTTGTAATGGAGCTGTACGGACACACGGCCCTGCCCGATGCTCATGAATGAACCCAATGATATGCCCCCTTCTTCCCATTCCCTTTCACCCCGTAATGACTTGACTTTTGAGTCGACTCAAAAGTCAATTTGTAATGGAGCTGCACGGAGACAAGACACTGCCCTGCCCGATGCTCATGAACCCCATAATATGCCACCTTCTTCCCATTCCCTTTCACCCGGTAATCCACCTGCCTTGCCTCAGCCCAGGCAGGCAACTACATCAATTTCGGAGTAATGGAGCTGTATGGAGACACTGCGCTGCCCGATGCCCATGAACCCCCCGGCCCCTTCCCCCCTCTTCTCTTCCTACGCCCCTCTCTCCCCTCTTTCCTGCCCCATCCCCTGTGCCCCACCATGCAGCCCTGGCAGGGAACTACGTCAACTTTGGAGTCATGGAGCTGTATGGAGACACTGCCCTGCCCGATGCTCTCGACGTGGCCCTCAAGCTCTGCCTCTCCATCCCTCTGCCTGAAATCATGGCCTTCAGAAAGGTTCGTTTGTCGATGTCTCCTCTTCTCCACCTGTCTTCCTGAGAATACGGGCTTCAGAAAGGTCTGTTGTGGTCCTCTCCTCTCTATGCCTCTCCGCCCTTTTGAGGCGCATCAAAATCTATCTCATCCACGTTCAGCCACCTTTCTCTTTTGACTCCTGTCTCCCACTCTCTTCCGTTACACCCCCCCACAGTTGGCGCGGGCATATTTCGCCTTTCTGGAAGTGCTGTGTCACAACCACACGATCGTGATCATCAACCTGCCCACAGCCAATTTCAGCCACCCACCTTCTCTTTTGACTCCTGTCTCCCATGCCACCCTTCTTACACCCCACACCACAGCTCGCCCGGGCCTACTTTGCTTTCTTGGAGGTGCTGTGCCACAACCACACGCTCGTCATCATCAACCTGCCCACCACCACGTTCCCACTCTTCCCATCCACCCACCCATTCTCTTCCCTCCCAAAACCCCCGCAGCTCGCCCGCGCATATTTCGCCTTCCTAGAGGTCCTCTGTCACAACCACACGCTCGTCATCATCAATCTGCCCACCGCCACGTTCAGCCACCTGGTGGGGTCGCTGGATACAGGGCTCAAGTGCCTTGATGTTTCGATCTCCTCACAGGTGAGTGGGATGTGGGGAGTGAGGGGGAGGGTTGGGTCTGGTTGGTGTGTCCTGATGTTAGCACACCGTTCAGCCACCTGGTGGCGTCGCTGGATACAGGGCTCTAGTGCCCGGACGTTTCCATCTCATCTCAGCTGAGGGGTGTTGGTTCAGAAAGAGGGTTGGGTCTGGTCTGAATCGTAGGGTGCGGTGGGTATGTGGATGGTAGCACACCGTTCAGCCACCTGGTGGCGTCGCTGGATACAGGGCTCAAGTGCCCGGACGTTTCCATCTCATCTCAGGTGAGGGGTGTTGGTTCAGAAAGAGGGTTGGGTCTGGTCTGAATCGTAGGGTGGGGTGGGTATGTGGATGGTAGCACACCGTTCAGCCACCTGGTGGCGTCGCTGGATACAGGGCTCAAGTGCCCGGACGTTTCCATCTCATCTCAGGTGAGGGGTGTTGGTTCAGAAAGAGGGTTGGGTCTGGTCTGAATCGTAGGGTGGGGTGGGTATGTGGATGGTAGCACACCGTTCAGCCACTTGGTGGCGTCGCTGGATACAGGGCTCAAGTGCCCGGACGTTTCCATCTCATCTCAGGTGAGGGGTGTTGGTTCAGAAAGAGGGTTGGGTCTGGTCTGAATCGTAGGGTGGGGTGGGTATGTGGATGGTAGCACACCGTTCAGCCACCTGGTGGCGTCGCTGGATACAGGGCTCAAGTGCCCGGACGTTTCCATCTCATCTCAGGTGAGGGGTGTTGGTTCAGAAAGAGGGTTGGGTCTGGTCTGAATCGTAGGGTGGGGTGGGTATGTGGATGGTAGCACACCGTTCAGCCACCTGGTGGCGTCGCTGGATACAGGGCTCAAGTGCCCGGACGTTTCCATCTCATCTCAGGTGAGGGGTGTTGGTTCAGAAAGAGGGTTGGGTCTGGTCTGAATCGTAGGGTGGGGTGGGTATGTGGATGGTAGCACACCGTTCAGCCACCTGGTGGCGTCGCTGGATACAGGGCTCAAGTGCCCGGACGTTTCCATCTCATCTCAGGTGAGGGGTGTTGGTTCAGAAAGAGGGTTGGGTCTGGTCTGAATCGTAGGGTGGGGTGGGTATGTGGATGGTAGCACACCGTTCAGCCACCTGGTGGCGTCGCTGGATACAGGGCTCAAGTGCCCGGACGTTTCCATCTCATCTCAGGTGAGGGGTGTTGGTTCAGAAAGAGGGTTGGGTCTGGTCTGAATCGTAGGGTGGGGTGGGTATGTGGATGGTAGCACACCGTTCAGCCACCTGGTGGCGTCGCTGGATACAGGGCTCAAGTGCCCGGACGTTTCCATCTCATCTCAGGTGAGGGGTGTTGGTTCAGAAAGAGGGTTGGGTCTGGTCTGAATCGTAGGGTGGGGTGGGTATGTGGATGGTAGCACACCGTTCAGCCACCTGGTGGCGTCGCTGGATACAGGGCTCAAGTGCCCGGACGTTTCCATCTCATCTCAGGTGAGGGGTGTTGGTTCAGAAAGAGGGTTGGGTCTGGTCTGAATCGTAGGGTGGGGTGGGTATGTGGATGGTAGCACACCGTTCAGCCACCTGGTGGCGTCGCTGGATACAGGGCTCAAGTGCCCGGACGTTTCCATCTCATCTCAGGTGAGGGGTGTTGGTTCAGAAAGAGGGTTGGGTCTGGTCTGAATCGTAGGGTGGGGTGGGTATGTGGATGGTAGCACACCGTTCAGCCACCTGGTGGCGTCGCTGGATACAGGGCTCAAGTGCCCGGACGTTTCCATCTCATCTCAGGTGAGGGGTGTTGGTTCAGAAAGAGGGTTGGGTCTGGTCTGAATCGTAGGGTGGGGTGGGTATGTGGATGGTAGCACACCGTTCAGCCACCTGGTGGCGTCGCTGGATACAGGGCTCAAGTGCCCGGACGTTTCCATCTCATCTCAGGTGAGGGGTGTTGGTTCAGAAAGAGGGTTGGGTCTGGTCTGAATCGTAGGGTGGGGTGGGTATGTGGATGGTAGCACACCGTTCAGCCACCTGGTGGCGTCGCTGGATACAGGGCTCAAGTGCCCGGACGTTTCCATCTCATCTCAGGTGAGGGGTGTTGGTTCAGAAAGAGGGTTGGGTCTGGTCTGAATCGTAGGGTGGGGTGGGTATGTGGATGGTAGCACACCGTTCAGCCACCTGGTGGCGTCGCTGGATACAGGGCTCAAGTGCCCGGACGTTTCCATCTCATCTCAGGTGAGGGGTGTTGGTTCAGAAAGAGGGTTGGGTCTGGTCTGAATCGTAGGGTGGGGTGGGTATGTGGATGGTAGCACACCGTTCAGCCACCTGGTGGCGTCGCTGGATACAGGGCTCAAGTGCCCGGACGTTTCCATCTCATCTCAGGTGAGGGGTGTTGGTTCAGAAAGAGGGTTGGGTCTGGTCTGATTCGTAGGGTGGGGTGGGTATGTGGATGGTAGCACACCGTTCAGCCACCTGGTGGCGTCGCTGGATACAGGGCTCAAGTGCCCGGACGTTTCCATCTCATCTCAGGTGAGGGGTGTTGGTTCAGAAAGAGGGTTGGGTCTGGTCTGAATCGTAGGGTGGGGTGGGTATGTGGATGGTAGCACACCGTTCAGCCACCTGGTGGCGTCGCTGGATACAGGGCTCAAGTGCCCGGACGTTTCCATCTCATCTCAGGTGAGGGGTGTTGGTTCAGAAAGAGGGTTGGGTCTGGTCTGAATCGTAGGGTGGGGTGGGTATGTGGATGGTAGCACACCGTTCAGCCACCTGGTGGCGTCGCTGGATACAGGGCTCAAGTGCCCGGACGTTTCCATCTCATCTCAGGTGAGGGGTGTTGGTTCAGAAAGAGGGTTGGGTCTGGTCTGAATCGTAGGGTGGGGTGGGTATGTGGATGGTAGCACACCGTTCAGCCACCTGGTGGCGTCGCTGGATACAGGGCTCAAGTGCCCGGACGTTTCCATCTCATCTCAGGTGAGGGGTGTTGGTTCAGAAAGAGGGTTGGGTCTGGTCTGAATCGTAGGGTGGGGTGGGTATGTGGATGGTAGCACACCGTTCAGCCACCTGGTGGCGTCGCTGGATACAGGGCTCAAGTGCCCGGACGTTTCCATCTCATCTCAGGTGAGGGGTGTTGGTTCAGAAAGAGGGTTGGGTCTGGTCTGAATCGTAGGGTGGGGTGGGTATGTGGATGGTAGCACACCGTTCAGCCAAATGGTGGCGTCGCTGGATACAGGGCTCAAGTGCCCGGACGTTTCCATCTCATCTCAGGTGAGGGGTGTTGGTTCAGAAAGAGGGTTGGGTCTGGTCTGAATCGTAGGGTGGGGTGGGTATGTGGATGGTAGCACACCGTTCAGCCACCTGGTGGCGTCGCTGGATACAGGGCTCAAGTGCCCGGACGTTTCCATCTCATCTCAGGTGAGGGGTGTTGGTTCAGAAAGAGGGTTGGGTCTGGTCTGAATCGTAGGGTGGGGTGGGTATGTGGATGGTAGCACACCGTTCAGCCACCTGGTGGCGTCGCTGGATACAGGGCTCAAGTGCCCGGACGTTTCCATCTCATCTCAGGTGAGGGGTGTTGGTTCAGAAAGAGGGTTGGGTCTGGTCTGAATCGTAGGGTGGGGTGGGTATGTGGATGGTAGCACACCGTTCAGCCACCTGGTGGCGTCGCTGGATACAGGGCTCAAGTGCCCGGACGTTTCCATCTCATCTCAGGTGAGGGGTGTTGGTTCAGAAAGAGGGTTGGGTCTGGTCTGAATCGTAGGGTGGGGTGGGTATGTGGATGGTAGCACACCGTTCAGCCACCTGGTGGCGTCGCTGGATACAGGGCTCCAGTGCCCGGACGTTTCCATCTCATCTCAGGTGAGGGGTGTTGGTTCAGAAAGAGGGTTGGGTCTGGTCTGAATCGTAGGGTGGGGTGGGTATGTGGATGGTAGCACACCGTTCAGCCACCTGGTGGCGTCGCTGGATACAGGGCTCAAGTGCCCGGACGTTTCCATCTCATCTCAGGTGAGGGGTGTTGGTTCAGAAAGAGGGTTGGGTCTGGTCTGAATCGTAGGGTGGGGTGGGTATGTGGATGGTAGCACACCGTTCAGCCACCTGGTGGCGTCGCTGGATACAGGGCTCAAGTGCCCGGACGTTTCCATCTCATCTCAGGTGAGGGGTGTTGGTTCAGAAAGAGGGTTGGGTCTGGTCTGAATCGTAGGGTGGGGTGGGTATGTGGATGGTAGCACACCGTTCAGCCACCTGGTGGCGTCGCTGGATACAGGGCTCAAGTGCCCGGACGTTTCCATCTCATCTCAGGTGAGGGGTGTTGGTTCAGAAAGAGGGTTGGGTCTGGTCTGAATCGTAGGGTGGGGTGGGTATGTGGATGGTAGCACACCGTTCAGCCACCTGGTGGCGTCGCTGGATACAGGGCTCAAGTGCCCGGACGTTTCCATCTCATCTCAGGTGAGGGGTGTTGGTTCAGAAAGAGGGTTGGGTCTGGTCTGAATCGTAGGGTGGGGTGGGTATGTGGATGGTAGCACACCGTTCAGCCACCTGGTGGCGTCGCTGGATACAGGGCTCAAGTGCCCGGACGTTTCCATCTCATCTCAGGTGAGGGGTGTTGGTTCAGAAAGAGGGTTGGGTCTGGTCTGAATCGTAGGGTGGGGTGGGTATGTGGATGGTAGCACACCGTTCAGCCACCTGGTGGCGTCGCTGGATACAGGGCTCAAGTGCCCGGACGTTTCCATCTCATCTCAGGTGAGGGGTGTTGGTTCAGAAAGAGGGTTGGGTCTGGTCTGAATCGTAGGGTGGGGTGGGTATGTGGATGGTAGCACACCGTTCAGCCACCTGGTGGCGTCGCTGGATACAGGGCTCCAGTGCCCGGACGTTTCCATCTCATCTCAGGTGAGGGGTGTTGGTTCAGAAAGAGGGTTGGGTCTGGTCTGAATCGTAGGGTGGGGTGGGTATGTGGATGGTAGCACACCGTTCAGCCACCTGGTGGCGTCGCTGGATACAGGGCTCAAGTGCCCGGACGTTTCCATCTCATCTCAGGTGAGGGGTGTTGGTTCAGAAAGAGGGTTGGGTCTGGTCTGAATCGTAGGGTGGGGTGGGTATGTGGATGGTAGCACACCGTTCAGCCACCTGGTGGCGTCGCTGGATACAGGGCTCAAGTGCCCGGACGTTTCCATCTCATCTCAGGTGAGGGGTGTTGGTTCAGAAAGAGGGTTGGGTCTGGTCTGAATCGTAGGGTGGGGTGGGTATGTGGATGGTAGCACACCGTTCAGCCACTTGGTGGCGTCGCTGGATACAGGGCTCAAGTGCCCGGACGTTTCCATCTCATCTCAGGTGAGGGGTGTTGGTTCAGAAAGAGGGTTGGGTCTGGTCTGAATCGTAGGGTGGGGTGGGTATGTGGATGGTAGCACACCGTTCAGCCACCTGGTGGCGTCGCTGGATACAGGGCTCAAGTGCCCGGACGTTTCCATCTCATCTCAGGTGAGGGGTGTTGGTTCAGAAAGAGGGTTGGGTCTGGTCTGAATCGTAGGGTGGGGTGGGTATGTGGATGGTAGCACACCGTTCAGCCACCTGGTGGCGTCGCTGGATACAGGGCTCCATTTCGCCTGGACGTCTCCATTTCGTCTCAGGTGTGTGGGGGCATGGGGGTTGAGGGAGAGGGTTGGTTGGGAGGGTGGAATCCGGGTGTGTCTTTGGCTGCACTTCGTTCGGGCACGTGGTGGGGTCGCTGGTGACTTTTGAGCCGACTCAAAAGTCAGGCTGCACTTCGTTCGGGCACGTGGTGGGGTCGCTGGTGACTTTTGAGCCGACTCAAAAGTCAGGCTGCACTTCGTTCGGGCACGTGGTGGGGTCGCTGGTGACTTTTGAGCCGACTCAAAAGTCAGGCTGCACTTCGTTCGGGCACGTGGTGGGGTCGCTGGTGACTTTTGAGCCGACTCAAAAGTCAGGCTGCACTTCGTTCGGGCACGTGGTGGGGTCGCTGGTGACTTTTGAGCCGACTCAAAAGTCAGGCTGCACTTCGTTCGGGCACGTGGTGGGGTCGCTGGTGACTTTTGAGCCGACTCAAAAGTCAGGCTGCACTTCGTTCGGGCACGTGGTGGGGTCGCTGGTGACTTTTGAGCCGACTCAAAAGTCAGGCTGCACTTCGTTCGGGCACGTGGTGGGGTCGCCGGTGACTTTTGAGCCGACTCAAAAGTCAGGCTGCACTTCGTTCGGGCACGTGGTGGGGTCGCTGGTGACTTTTGAGCCGACTCAAAAGTCAGGCTGCACTTCGTTCGGGCACGTGGTGGGGTCGCTGGTGACTTTTGAGCCGACTCAAAAGTCAGGCTGCACTTCGTTCGGGCACGTGGTGGGGTCGCTGGTGACTTTTGAGTCGACTCAAAAGTCAGGCTGCACGTTGTTCGGGCACGTGGTGGGGTCGCTGGACACAGGCCTCTCTAGTGCCTAGACGTCTCCATTTCGTCTAAGGTGAGGAGTGCGGGAGTGGAAAGAGAGGGAAGGGTTCAGTTGAGATCGCATGGTGGGAGTGTTTGTGACAGCGGGGGGGATGCACTCTTACCATACACCTAAAAAAAGGAATGTTTTGAGACGTCTCAAAACACTCCTTTTTTCAGTGTTTGTGACAGCGGAGGGGATGCTCTCTTACCATGCACCTAAAAAATAATACCCTACACTTTCCCCTTTTCCTTCCCCCTCCTCCCGTCCACATCACTCCAGTGTGCCTCAGCAGTGGAAAATCTAGCAGCCGACTACTTCAACAACGTCACAGCAGGGGACGCACCCTTCTTTCCAACCCTTTGAATCTGTCCTCCCCTCCCTCGTTTCCCGCCCCCGTACGCGTCAATCCAGTGCGCCTCAGCAGTGGACAACCTAGCAGCCGACTACTTCAACAACGTCACAGCAGCGGATGCACCCTCCTCTCCAACCTCTCTTGAATCTGTCCTCCCTCCCTTCTCTCCCGCCCTCCAAACTTCTTCAATCCAGTGTGCCTCAGCAGTGGACAATCTAGCAGCCTACTATTTCAACAACGCCACGGCAGGGGATGTCCTTTTCAGTCCAGCTGCTCTAAACTCTGTCCTCGCCTCCTTTTCCCCCCCACCACCCACGTCTCTCCAGTGTGCCTCAGCAGTGGACAATCTAGCAGCCTACTATTTCAACAACGTCACGGCAGGGGATGCACCCTCCTCGCCTGCCGCTCTCACCATCGCGCAACACTTGGCTGAGTGCCCCACACTCTTTCCCGAGGCAAGCTGATCCCTACATTCTTTCTCACTTGATATCTCTCCAAGCTGTTGGTGATGGTGGTCCCATTCGAGCTCACAATCCACTACTTGGCCAACTAGAGGAGTGCAAGGGGTGGACTGGACCCACGCTGTCCCTCTGCCTTCATCTCCTCTTCCGAGTTGACTTTTGAGTCGACTCAAAAGTCAACTCACAATCCACTACTTGGCCAACTAGAGGAGTGCAAGGGGTGGACTGGACTGGACCCACGCTGTCCGTCTGCCTTCATCTCCTCTTCCTCTCCTTGCCTTGCCTGCTCTGCTCTCTCCATTCTTTCTGCTCTTGCTTCTCTTTCTGCTCTCTCTGCTCCCCCTGTTCTCCACGTGCTACCTCCAGATCCTCAAGACGCTGTTCGAGATCGTGTTATTCGAGGACTGTGCCAACCAGTGGAGCCTCAGCAGACCCATGCTCTCCCTTATCCTGGTCAACGAGCAGCTATACAACGACCTCAAGCTGCAAATACTCTCCTCTCAAGTATGTCATGTACACACACACACATATGCATGCGCGCACGTGCACGCACTGCATGCACACACATCGTGCCTTTCTCTCTCATCGCTCTCATCCTGGTCAACGAGCAGCGCTACAACGACCTCAAGCTGCAAATACTCTCCTCTCAAGTATGTCCCGCATCCCCACGCGCGCGCACATACGCACGCACACACGCACATACGCACGCACACACGCACATACGCATGCACACGCGCACATACGCATGCACACGCGCACATACGCATGCACACGCGCACATACGCATGCACACGGGCGCACACAGACTCACGCGCATGCACGCACACACGGTGTCTTGTTCTCAAGTAAGCTCTAGGAGAGTATATACTCTCCCAACTCTGCCCTCCTCTCCGCCATTTGATAGGTATTGTATTCATCCATCAAACTAGGTTCCAACGGACATGGATCAGACGTGAACCAAAATATTTAATCGCAACTGTTCTTTCTCATTCTTGCTTGCTGCATCCTTCCCTCGGTGGGCGCTTACCCTCCCCTCCCCTGTTTCCGCCTGTCCCTTACCTTTCCGCCTCCCTTTGACAGCCATCGAATCAGCGGAGTGCTTTGACAAGCTGATGGCGGATGTGGGGCGGAACCTCGACCCAAACCCCCGCTTGTCCCTCTCTCCCTATCTCCCTATCTCCCAGCCATCGGATCAGCGGCCGCGCATAGCAGAGTGCTTTGACAAGCTGATGGCGGATGTGGGGCGGAACCTCGACCCAAACCCCCGCTTGTCCCTCTCTCCCTATCTCCCTATCTCCCAGCCATCGGATCAGCGGCCGCGCATAGCAGAGTGCTTTGACAAGCTGATGGCGGATGTGGGGCGGAACCTCGACCCAAACCCCCGCTTGTCCCTCTCTCCCTATCTCCTTATCTCCCTATCTCCCTATCTCCCAGCCATCGGATCAGCGGCCGCGCATAGCCGAGTGCTTTGACAAGCTGATGGCGGATGTGGGGCGGAACCTCGACCCAAACCCCCGCTTGTCCCTCTCTCCCTATCTCCCTATCTCCCAGCCATCGGATCAGCGGCCGCGCATAGCCGAGTGCTTTGACAAGCTGATGGCGGATGTGGGGCGGAACCTCGACCCAAACCCCCGCTTGTCCCTCTCTCCCTATCTCCCTATCTCCCAGCCATCGGATCAGCGGCCGCGCATAGCCGAGTGCTTTGACAAGCTGATGGCGGATGTGGGGCGGAACCTCGACCCAAACCCCCGCTTGTCCCTCTCTCCCTATCTCCCTATCTCCCAGCCATCGGATCAGCGGCCGCGCATAGCAGAGTGCTTTGACAAGCTGATGGCGGATGTGGGGCGGAACCTCGACCCAAACCCCCGCTTGTCCCTCTCTCCCTATCTCCCTATCTCCCAGCCATCGGATCAGCGGCCGCGCATAGCAGAGTGCTTTGACAAGCTGATGGCGGATGTGGGGCGGAACCTCGACCCAAACCCCCGCTTGTCCCTCTCTCCCTATCTCCCTATCTCCCAGCCATCGGATCAGCGGCCGCGCATAGCAGAGTGCTTTGACAAGCTGATGGCGGATGTGGGGCGGAACCTCGACCCAAACCCCCGCTTGTCCCTCTCTCCCTATCTCCCTATCTCCCAGCCATCGGATCAGCGGCCGCGCATAGCCGAGTGCTTTGACAAGCTGATGGCGGATGTGGGGCGGAACCTCGACCCAAACCCCCGCTTGTCCCTCTCTCCCTATCTCCCTATCTCCCAGCCATCGGATCAGCGGCCGCGCATAGCCGAGTGCTTTGACAAGCTGATGGCGGATGTGGGGCGGAACCTCGACCCAAACCCCCGCTTGTCCCTCTCTCCCTATCTCCCTATCTCCCAGCCATCGGATCAGCGGCCGCGCATAGCAGAGTGCTTTGACAAGCTGATGGCGGATGTGGGGCGGAACCTCGACCCAAACCCCCGCTTGTCCCTCTCTCCCTATCTCCCTATCTCCCGGCCATCGGATCAGCGGCCGCGCATAGCCGAGTGCTTTGACAAGCTGATGGCGGATGTGGGGCGGAACCTCGACCCAAACCCCCGCTTGTCCCTCTCTCCCTATCTCCCTATCTCCCAGCCATCGGATCAGCGGCCGCGCATAGCAGAGTGCTTTGACAAGCTGATGGCGGATGTGGGGCGGAACCTCGACCCAAACCCCCGCTTGTCCCTCTCTCCCTATCTCCCTATCTCCCAGCCATCGGATCAGCGGCCGCGCATAGCCGAGTGCTTTGACAAGCTGATGGCGGATGTGGGGCGGAACCTCGACCCAAACCCCCGCTTGTCCCTCTCTCCCTATCTCCCTATCTCCCAGCCATCGGATCAGCGGCCGCGCATAGCAGAGTGCTTTGACAAGCTGATGGCGGATGTGGGGCGGAACCTCGACCCAAACCCCCGCTTGTCCCTCTCTCCCTATCTCCCAGCCATCGGATCAGCGGCCGCGCATAGCCGAGTGCTTTGACAAGCTGATGGCGGATGTGGGGCGGAACCTCGACCCAAACCCCCGCTTGTCCCTCTCTCCCTATCTCCCTATCTCCCAGCCATCGGATCAGCGGCCGCGCATAGCCGAGTGCTTTGACAAGCTGATGGCGGATGTGGGGCGGAACCTCGACCCAAACCCCCGCTTGTCCCTCTCTCCCTATCTCCCTATCTCCCAGCCATCGGATCAGCGGCCGCGCATAGCAGAGTGCTTTGACAAGCTGATGGCGGATGTGGGGCGGAACCTCGACCCAAACCCCCGCTTGTCCCTCTCTCCCTATCTCCCTATCTCCCAGCCATCGGATCAGCGGCCGCGCATAGCAGAGTGCTTTGACAAGCTGATGGCGGATGTGGGGCGGAACCTCGACCCAAACCCCCGCTTGTCCCTCTCTCCCTATCTCCCTATCTCCCAGCCATCGGATCAGCGGCCGCGCATAGCAGAGTGCTTTGACAAGCTGATGGCGGATGTGGGGCGGAACCTCGACCCCAAGAACCGAGACAAGTTCACTCAGAATCTAACCATTTTCCGGCACGACTTCCGTGCTAAGTAAAACCACTGCACCTGTGCCAAGAAAATTGCGGCATGCCGGTCCGGTATACTTCGAAGGCGCCAAAATAATGCTTTCCAGGTGCAGCCAGCCTGGTACAGTGCGTGCCCTTCTCTCTGGTACAACTGGATCAGTATACAACCGGATCAGCACCGCCGGTACAATGCCTCTGCTAGAGTATCTGCAGCTTAATGCCGGAGAAAAAGAAGAGAAAGGCAGGAAAAGGATCTGCTAACCATCTTCTGGCAGCATTTCTGTGCCAAGGGAGCCTGACACAGTCTGCTCACTTCTAACACCCAAAACGTTGTAGGCTGGTCAACCAGAAAAAAAAAAGCGTTTAGGATCATATCAGTTTTATCATTGAAAGTGATGATTTGATGGAATATGTCTTGGTACACCAATTGAATTTCTCTGAATAAATGGGTGCACCGTCCGTTTACAATCTACAACCGCAGCACAACGTTTTGCTAGTCTGCTAGAACCAGCGGGATGCTAGTCTGACAGAAATGCAAGTCTGCCAGAACCATCAGGACATGAGGGGAACAAATGGCTAGCTGTTTCCAGGAGGCGGATTAAAACGCCTAACTGCTTTGCAAACGAAGATTCAGCGGATTCAGCGTGGGACCTGCGAGGAAGCATGAGAGTTGTGGGAAGGGATACAGGATGTCATAGTACGGTTCGCATGATGTTTGCGGTGCGTGGAATGAATGTGAGGTCTATGAAAGGAAAAACGGGAGAGACGCGGAACAGGCAGAACAGTAGCGTTGCGTGTGACGGGCACGGCTCGTCAGAAAGCTATAACTGTAAGGCAAGGAGGAGATGGTATATATATATAAAAGCGCAAGCGTAGGAACTTGTTGAGAAACTCCTGACGGAAGAGGGAGGGGAAACTGAAACCGTGAACCAATGGCGCGGAACAAGAATCTAGGAAATCCGCCGCGAAGAGCTGCAAGGATCCTGGCTGTCAGCCGCCATTTCACATCAAAGCGCACAACCTGAGCGTGAGTTAGTTCCTCAACGCTCAGCAGTACGCCCCGAGCGAGCGACGACACGGAAACCACGGAATGCTGAATCAAAAGTTTGATTGAAATTTCTACAAAAGCAATTTCTGGAATTTTCTATAAAATCGAAAAAGCAGAGCCAATAACGGCACCGAACATAGGAGATGAAGCCCAACAAGAAGAGCACTCGCAAGAACTACTAAGGCCGTACTACGGTGCTTTACTTCGCTGTATTATAAGACAAAGGTAATTGAAAACCAAAGCGCTACGACCTAAGGCTACGAGGACTGACGCGCCGCCGCCACTGCCGCCAGCGACAAATGCCTACGTGTGAAAGCTGAGGATGTGGAACAAAAGCTGCTCTCTATCGAAACAGAGAAGGATGAATCGAGAGGCACGAGTTTGGGTTGAAAGGATGTATCGTGAGGAAAGCTCTCAGATTCCCACGTCAGCAACCGGGCCCATACCACAGAAATGGACGGTGAAAATTTCGGGAATTAAGGACGAAAGTTTGAAAGGTTTGAGGCATACCTTTCTCGGCCTTTTGGCTAAGATCAAGTGTAGTATCTGTTCTTATCAGTTTAATATCTGATACGTGGACCATCGGTCCACATGATATTAAATTAATTTCTTCCGGGGGCAGGTGCCAATGGCCAGCTTGCTGGTCGGCCCTGCGCGCGTCGCCTCAGTATTGCACTATCTCTGAGGAAGACGCACCCCTCCCCACACGGGGACCAAAACAAAATTGAAATTGGATTTAGCAACCCTTTAAATGTTAAATCTGAAAGCTAATCAAAATATCCTAAAAAACAAAAAAACTTCTGATGTTGCATCAGCTGAAAAATATGGTATCCGAAATGGGAACCAATATCTACCTACCCCTCTTCCACCAACTCGTTTAGACATTCAATAGCCAGGCTGATGATTTTACATTCTTCCATTCACACTAGCAATGGTATTCTGCAAATGTGAGGGTGGGACTGCTGCAAGTTCTCAGCAAAAAAAATCACTAACTACAATCTCTGCTCTATCATGGCTGCTGAGCAGACCGGATCAGATCACCTGGTTACTATGCTAGGCAAACTCGTGCACCTCAGTGCACTTCCTCTATCAAATTGTCAATGCGATCATGCTTGTCGGCTGCTGCTGCTGACGACTCGATTCCCCCAAGGGTGTTGGCTGCCTTGCTTAGCTGCCGTCGTACTAATCTCTCGTAGACTCCATTCGCTGGAAGAAAGCGACAACAGACACACCAGAAGAGAATGTAGGTAGGATAGGAAGCATGAAATTGTGTTACTGTGGCCCCCCAACGGCCTCGTGTGGAAAAGAGACAATCCGCCACTTAAGAGCAGTTTCTCGCATAAAGCCAGCAGCTACCCGTGCATGTGGGCTTACCTTCACCCTGCACTTACTATCACCTATTGCACGCACTCACTTGTTGTACACACACTCAACAAGAAACAACAACTCGTCCCTTCCCACTACCACCCATCAACACTCACGAATTTCCAGCAGCTGCTCATGCGTGCCATGCTCAGCGACCCGCCCCCCTTCCAGCACGCAGATGCTGTCAGCATTGCGCACGGTGGACAGCCGGTGAGCCACGAGCACGATGGTGCGCCCGCCCTCCGCGATCAGCCGGTCCAGCGCGCCCTGCACCAGCGCCTCACTCTCCGCGTCCAACGCTGACGTGGCCTCGTCCAATAGGAGCACGCGCGGACGGCGCAGCAGCATCCGGGCAATGGCTATGCGCTGTAGATCAGGGATGAGCAATAAAAGAGAAGATTCCATGCCAAACGTTTGTTTGTTTGTTTTTTATTTTATTTTTTTCCCAACATCTTTTCTTATGGTATTACTAGTTAGTTGTATAAGGCTCACTGAGCTAACCTCATCAGACTTTGAAGGTCCAGGTCTTGTCTCACCTGACCTCTGTTGGTCTCAGCTCTCCTCTCTTGGCCTCACCTGCCTCTGACCGCCTGAGAGTCGCACTCCCCTCTCTCCCACGCGTGTAGCGTAACCCTCGGGGAACTTGGTGATGAAATCGTGTGCGTTGGCGTGCCTGCAAGGAAGAGATGCGAGAAAAACACGCAGGAAATCAATTCAGCAACAAGCACTCCCACAAGCCCGGCGCGTGGCATAACCCGCGGGGAACTGGGTGATGAAATCATGTGCATTGGCGTGCCTGCAAAGAAGAGTTGCAAGGAGAGCAGAGGGCAAAAAGTTACGACAGGGTTTCGGGTTTTCTCCTCGAATTTAACCTCGATGCTGCATGTTCACATCTGAATGTACATACACACATGCGCCTTTTGAGGCGCCTCAACAGTCGCAACATCCCCCAGTGCTGCATCTCCCAATGACACTCACTTGGCAGCTTCTTCAACCTCGGCTCGAGTGTAACACGGCAGCCCATACGCGATATTCTCCTCGATGCTGCATGCCCACATCTGCGTGTCCTGCGCCACCAGCCCCATGTGCTGATGCCCCCACTAGCCCCACATATTTGCATACTACAGATTGCACACACTCTTACTTGGCAGCCTCCTCCACTTCGGCTCGAGTGTAGGAAGGCAAGCCATACGCGATATTCTCCTCGATGCTGCATGCCCACATCTGCGTGTCCTGCGCCACCAGCCCCATGTGCTGATGCCCCCACTAGCCCCACATATTTTCATACTACAGATTGCACACACTCTTACTTGGCAGCCTCCTCCACTTCGGCTCGAGTGTAGGAAGGCAAGCCATACGCGATATTCTCCTCGATGCTGCATGCCCACATCTGCGTGTCCTGCGCCACCAGCCCCATGTGCGCGTGCACCGACCGTAGATTCAGCTCGCGCAGATCTCGGCCGTCCATCACGATGCGGCCTTGGACAGGATCGTAGAAGCGCATGAGCAGATGCACCACGGTTGACTTGCCTCCCCCGCTGCGACCCACCAGGGCGAGCACTTGGCCTGGATCCACGTGGAGGGATACTCCTGAAGAGAGCAAAAGGGGGGACAACACAGAACGAGGCACGGGATCGTAGAAGCGCATGAGCAGATGCACCACGGTTGACTTGCCTCCCCCGCTGCGACCCACCAGGGCGAGCACTTGGCCTGGATCCACGTGGAGGGATACTCCTGAAGGGAAGCAAAAGGGGGGACAACACAGAACGAGGCACGGGATCGTAGAAGCGCATGAGCAGATGCACCACGGTTGACTTGCCTCCCCCGCTGCGACCCACCAGGGCGAGCACTTGGCCTGGATCCACGTGGAGGGATACTCCTGAAGGGAATAAGGGACAGGGGACAGAGGAAGACAGGGAGGGAGGGATCGTAGAAGCGCATGAGAAGATGCACGACTGTGGACTTGCTCCCACCACTGTGACCCACCATGGCGAGCACTTGCCCTGGATCCATGTGGAAAGACACTCCTGGAGTAGTGGTTTTGAAAATGAGGGAGGGGGGGCAGCACAGCACAAGATAAGGGCAGCACTAGAGTGGGTTCCTACTAGAATGCGGCAGGTAGCGACACTAAAGCTGGACGCTACTATTGTAGGTGCTACTAACACATGGTGGGTAGTGACCGTAAAGCAGGGCGTTACCCAGGAAGGTAGCCAACACACCTTTGAGCACGGGGTGGTCTGGGCGCATCTGGTAGTGGAAGTGAACATCCTCCATGCGGATGGATCCCTGCAGTGTTGACACCTGGTGATTGAGCATAGGAAAAAAAGAGTGAGAAGAGACAAGGGATGGAAGACTGATTGGGTTGTTGCAGGCATCTCATCTGGTAATGGAAGTGCAGGCACTGACACGACACCCTTGCACTCATAGTCACCCTTGCACTGACACGACACCCTTGCACTCATAGTCACCCTTGCACTCATAGTCACCCTTGCACTCATAGTCACCCTTGCACTCATAGTCACCCTTGCACTCATAGTCACCCTCTCCGACACTGACGCCAGGCCAGCATTGCCCTCTGCTTTCTTCTTTCTCTCACACACACCTCCCTACCTTGGTGCCCGCATCAGGGTCAATGTCAGGCAGTGAGTCAGTCGATGAGGGAGAGCACCCTCTGAGCAGCACCAGCGGCCTTGGTGAGGGACATGAGCACCGACATGATGCTCTGATACCCCGACTGGACCCCCACACTCCAAACACCCACTGCTATTCCGATCCCCACACACCTTGGTGCCCTTGTCAGGGTCGATATCTGGCAGAGAGTCGATGAGGGAGAGCACCCTCTGGGCAGCGCCAGAGGCCTTGGTGAGCTTTGATGCACCTCAAAACTCGTCTGTATATGCACACACACACACACACACAGAACCCTACCTTGGTGCCCGCATCAGGGTCAATATCTGGCAGCGAGTCGATGAGGGAGAGCACTCGCTGAGCGGCGCCAGAGGCCTTGGTGAGGGACATGAGTACAGACATGATGCTCTGATACCCCGACTGGATGAGGTTCCAGTAGAGCTGAAAGGCGATGAGCTGGCCCAGGCGCATGTGCCCCTCCATCACCAACACCCCTCCGTACCTGGGGTCGTTGAAATGGGGGAGAGGAATAGAGGGAAGGGGGAAAGGGAGAGCCAGAATGAGGTTCGTGGTACCCCGACTGGATGAGGTTCCAGTAGAGCTGGAAGGCGATCAGCTGGCCCAGGCGCATGTGCCCCTCCATCACCAACATTCCTCCGTACCTGAGAGATACAGAAAATGGGGGACAAGAAAGGTGGAAAGCGGGAGATGGAATGAGGTGCTTGGTACCCAGAGTCCCCGACTGGATGAGGTTCCAGTAGAGCTGGAAGGCGATGAGCTGGTCCAGGCGCATGTGCCCCTCCATCACCAACACCCCTCCGTACCTGAGAGATACAGAAAATGGGGGACAAGAAAGGTGGAAAGCGGGAGATGGAATGAGGTGCTTGGTACCCAGAGTCCCCGACTGGATGAGGTTCCAGTAGAGCTGGAAGGCGATGAGCTGGTCCAGGCGCATGTGCCCCTCCATCACCAACACCCCTCCGTACCTGAGAGATACAGAAAATGGGGGACAAGAAAGGTGGAAAGCGGGAGATGGAATGAGGTGCTTGGTACCCAGGGTCCCCAACTGGATGAGGTTCCAGTAGAGCTGGAAGGCGATGAGCTGGTCCAGGCGCATGTGCCCCTCCATCACCAACACCCCTCCGTACCTGAGAGATACGGAAAATGGGGGACAAGAAGAGGAGGGAGACGGAACGAGATGCTTGGTAGTCCCTGACTGGATCCAATTCCAGTAGAGCTGGATCAGCGGACCCAGCTGCATGTGCCCCTGCATCACCAGCGCACGTCTGTACGCCCAACGTACCCCCAACACACCCCCAACACACAAGGCTGAATGAACCCACCAGAGAATCAGAACGACTTTTGAGACGTCTCAAAAGCCCCCAACACACCCCCAGCACACAAGGCTGAATGAACGCACCAGAGAATCAGAACGACTTTTGAGACGTCTCAAAAGCCCCCAACACACCCCCAGCACACAAGGCTGAATGAACGCACCAGAGAATCAGAACGAGTTTTGAGACGTCTCAAAAGCCCCCAACACACCCCCAGCACACAAGGCTGAATGAACGCACCAGAGAATCAGAACGACTTTTGAGATGTCTCAAAAGCCCCCAACACACCCCCAGCACACAAGGCTGAATGAACGCACCAGAGAATCAGAACGACTTTTGAGACGTCTCAAAAGCCCCCAACACACCCCCAGCACACAAGGCTGAATGAACGCACCAGAGAATCAGAACGACTTTTGAGACGTCTCAAAAGCCCCCAACACACCCCCAGCACACAAGGCTGAATGAACGCACCAGAGAATCAGAACGACTTTTGAGACGTCTCAAAAGCCCCCAACACACCCCCAGCACACAAGGCTGAATGATCGCACCAGAGAATCAGAACGACTTTTGAGACGTCTCAAAAGCCCCCAACACACCCCCAGCACACAAGGCTGAATGAACGCACCAGAGAATCAGAACGACGACTTTTGAGACGTCTCAAAAGCCCCCAACACACCCCCAGCACACAAGGCTGAATGAACGCACCAGAGAATCAGAACGACTTTTGAGACGTCTCAAAAGCCCCCAACACACCCCCAGCACACAAGGCTGAATGAACGCACCAGAGAATCAGAACGACTTTTGAGACGTCTCAAAAGCCCCCAACACACCCCCAGCACACAAGGCTGAATGAACCCACCAGAGAATCAGAACGACGACTTTTGAGACGTCTCAAAAGCCCCCAACACACCCCCAGCACACAAGGCTGAATGAACGCACCAGAGAATCAGAACGACTTTTGAGACGTCTCAAAAGTCCCCAACACACCCCCAGCACACAAGGCTGAATGAACGCACCAGAGAATCAGAACGAGTTTTGAGACGTCTCAAAAGCCCCCAACACACCCCCAGCACACAAGGCTGAATGAACGCACCAGAGAATCAGAACGACTTTTGAGACGTCTCAAAAGCCCCCAACACACCCCCAGCACACAAGGCTGAATGAACGCACCAGAGAATCAGAACGACTTTTGAGACGTCTCAAAAGCCCCCAACACACCCCCAGCACACAAGGCTGAATGAACGCACCAGAGAATCAGAACGACTTTTGAGACGTCTCAAAAGCCCCCAACACACCCCCAGCACACAAGGCTGAATGAACGCAACAGAGGATGAGAACGGACGCCCCCAGGTCGAGCCAGCTGTTGATGGCGACGGCGCCGGAATAGGCAAGGGCGTCCCTCACGTACGTCCCACCCACATCCCACCCACATACCCCCAACACACCACAGCAGACCCAACCCACCAGAGGATGAGCACGGACGCCCCCAGGTCGAGCCAGCTGTTGATGGCGACGGCGCCGGAATAGGCAAGGGCGTCCCTCACGTACGTCCCACCCACATCCCACCCACATACCCCCAACACACCACAGCAGACCCAACCCACCAGAGGATGAGCACGGACGCCCCCAGGTCGAGCCAGTTGTTGATGGCGACAGCGCCGGAATAGGCAAGGGCGTCCCTCACGTACGTCCCACCCACATCCCACCCACATACCCCCAACACACCACAGCAGACCCAACCCACCAGAGGATGAGCACGGACGCCCCCAGGTCGAGCCAGCTGTTGATGGCGACGGCGCCGGAATAGGCAAGGGCGTCCCTCACGTACGTCCCACCCACATCCCACCCACATACCCCCAACACACCACAGCAGACCCAACCCACCAGAGGATGAGCACGGACGCCCCCAGGTCGAGCCAGCTGTTGATGGCGACGGCGCCGGAATAGGCAAGGGCGTCCCTCACGTACGTCCCACCCACATCCCACCCACATACCCCCAACACACCACAGCAGACCCAACCCACCAGAGGATGAGCACGGACGCCCCCAGGTCGAGCCAGCTGTTGATGGCGACGGCGCCGGAATAGGCAAGGGCGTCCCTCACGTACGTCCCACCCACATCCCACCCACATACCCCCAACACACTACAGCAGACCTGTCGGAGTTCTTCCCTTCTCCTTCCTCACTCCTCCCTTGCCCCTGCCTCTTCCCTGCCTTCTGTCCTCACCTTCTTCCCTTCCTTCTTATTCTGGCCTTTCCCCACCTTGTGCTGTCCCCACTCCTGTTACCCTGTTCCCTTCTGCGTTCTCAGCCACTACCGAGAAGTTTACTGTCCCACACGATGGCTGCCCACAGTGGCGTAGTCACCTAGCTAGCGTAGCCTTGTTGCGGTAACGTTATCCACTATATGAGGCAAACAAGACGAGAGAACAGGTTTGCAATGCTAGGCTAGGCTATTTGTGCTTGGCTGCCCAGTCGCGAGTAACTCAGCGTGCTGGGTTGAGCTCGAGCCGCCTAGGCCTTGGAGTGGCCCTCGCCAGATTGCCTGTCTCCCGAGGTTCCTGAAATTGTCCCCGAAGCGCCCTGTAACCCCCAGTGCTACCAACTTCTCGCTACTCTCTATAACCCAACTACCCCACATGCAGATTGAATAACACTCGCTACACCACTTCTACACCCAATTAGCATATGTCTCCAATATGATGCTGTTACCATTATATTTGGTGACAGCTGTCGGAGTTCTTCCCTTCTCCTTCCTCACTCCTCCCTTGCCCCTGCCTCTTCCCTGCCTTCTGTCCTCACCTTCTTCCCTTCCTTCTTATTCTGGCCTTTCCCCACCTTGTGCTGTCCCCACTCCTGTTACCCTGTTCCCTTCTGCGTTCTCAGCCACTACCTGCCCCCTCTTGTGCTCGTGCTCGAGCTGCTCGGGCGCGAGTCACAGGACTCTCAGCTGAGGACGGCTGCTCTTCAGTCCTGCCGTGCGGGTCTGGTGGTCCCCGGTCTGTTCTCCCTTCTTCTTCTCCAACGCTAGCACTCCCACGCCTCGCACTGCTTGCGCCCTCCCCTTCACTCTTCCCTATTCCACAGCTAGTGTATCCTTCTTTGCCCCTCTCTTCCCGTCCCACCTCTATAGCCACCTTTATCCCCTTGCCTTCCTGCTGCTGCCACTTCTCACAGCAGCACGCATCCCTCAACTGCACGGTATGTAGGTCGTCCACCGCCACCGGTATCACCTCCTGCAAGTATTCCGCTGCCTTAGCTCGCTCCCATGCCGCCCGGTTCTCCGCCTCTTCCATTGTATGGCCTACCTTTTCCCCTGTTGCTAGGGGCTCCCATGCCCCCACTTCCTTACTCTCCCGCTCTGCTTCCCCCAGCAGCTCTGGCCTTCCTCCCCGCAGCTTCCTCACATGCCGCTCCGCCAGCTTGTTTCCCTGCGCTTGCATCCAATCCTTCATCGTCACACCAGTCTTCGCCCCTGCCCCGATTTCCCCGAACAACTCTGCTGTCTTCAGCGATGGCTGCCAACCATTCCCTCCCATGTCTGTACTGCTCAGCCCCGTCTTCCCTCCTTTCTTCACCGCTCCCTCCTTCTCGCCCTTCCCTTCCGCTTCTTCTGCTGCTGGTACACACGCCCTTGCCCCCGCCTCTTCGTCCCTCTCCTCTACTTCTACTGCTGCCATTACACCCACTCCTGCCCCCACCTGCTCGTCCTTCTCCTCTGCTTCCGCTGCTACTGGTACGCACGCCCAGGTCCCCTCTCTCTCATTCTTCCCTTCCCCTTCTGTTGCTGCCCATTTCCTCACCTTCTCATCCTTCCCTTCAGTGTCTGCTGCTACTAATTCGCACACTCCTGCCTCCTTCTCCTCGTCCTTCTCTTCCCCTTCTGCTGCTGCCCATGCCCTCACCTTCTCATCCTTACCTTCAGTGTCTGCTGCTACTAATTCACACACTTCCGCCTCCTCTTTCTCGTCCTTCTGTTCCCCTTCTGCCACTGCCCATGCCCTCACCTTCGTGGCTTGCTCCTTTCCTCTGTCCCTGCCCCCACTGCGCAGCCCCATGGCTTCACTGCTACACAGCACCGCACAGGAATATTCTGGCTCCTGCTCCCCTTCCTCCTTCTCTTCTTCCTCACTTGCATACAACCCCGCCTGCCTCTCTGTCCTTCCTCTCAGCTCCCGCCCTTTCCTTCCGTCTCTGCCCCCACTGCGCAGCCCCAGTCCCTCACGGCTACGTAACGCCAGGCATGTGTACTCTGGCTCCTGCCCTTCCTCCTCTTCTGCTCCTTCTTCCCTCGCGTACAGCCCAGCCTCTTTCTCCTTTCTCCCTCCCAGGGCCTGCAACTGCGCCCGCAACTTCCTTATCTGGCTCTCGATCTCCTCTGGTGACCCTTTTGTTCCGCCTGCCCCTTTATCGCATCCCCTTGCTTCATGCCCCCTTTCTCCGCACTCCTTACATGTCGGTGCCTCCGGGCAGTCCCTTCGGCGGTGCCCTGGCTTCCCACATGCATCGCAGTTCCTGCAGTGCATCCTTATGTGCCCCGGCTGTCCACACCGGTAACAGGTGCGTGTCTCTGCCCTTTTCTCCGGCCTGCTCTCTTCTCCTGCTCCCTCCCCTGGTATCATCGCCGCTGCCCAGGTAGGACTCTTCTTCTCTATCGTCCTCAGCAGGTATACCTCATACTTCCTCTGCGCCAGCTCCACCCTTTCCGCTAACTCGAATACCTCCTCTGGTGTTGCATCTGCTCCTAGCTCATAGACTCTCATTCTCAACCCTCCTGCCAATCCCTTGTCCAAACCATTCAGAAACTTGCTAATGATCATGCTGCTGTCCGTGCACACCACATCTTCCGCCAGGTTCATTAACCGTCCGTAGTATGTCAGCAGTGACTCCTCGTCCCTCCGCCTAAACTCCTGGAATTCCCTGATGCGCGCTGCCGTATGCCCAGGGAACTGCTTCCTTAGTCGCTCCAGGAACAGTACCGTCGGGTCCTCGTCATCCTCTTCTGCCCTCCACAGCCATTCACCCATCTTCATGCGATACAAAGTCTCTGCTTCCCCTCCCAACGTGCTTGGCAGGCTCAGAAAAAACTCAATCGGGTCCATCCCGCTTCTGTCACATCGGTATTTAACATTGCTGATCTGCATCAAATAGTTCTTCAGACTTGGGCCGGTTTTCTCGTTTCCCGTGAAGCGTACTGGCACCTCCACTCGCGGCTGTGCTGTTGCCCCCCACTTCCCTGTTTCCCAGCTCTCCGTCCCTCCTTGCTCAGACATCATAACCCCTCTCCTCCTTTCCCTTTCTCCCCTGCTGCCCGTGCTGGTTCCATACAGCACTCGCTCTATTCCCTCCCTAGCTGCTCTTGCTCCAGCAGATCCTACGCCGTGACGCCCCGGCCTCCTCGGGCCCATCGGGCTAGGGCTCCTCCCTCGCGCATCTTCTCGCTCCCCCCTGCGCCTCTCTGCATCTTCCCGACGCTTCTCTCCCCTTGCAGGGGACCGCTCCTGGTACTGCCGCACTCTGTCCTCTCGCTGTCGCTCCTTCTCTGCTGCCCTCGAGACTTCTGGTGTCCGCACACCTTCTCTCTTGCCTCGCCAGTCCTCCTCGCGCCTCCACTCCCTTCCTCTTTCCGGTGAGTCCCACTTGTCTCTTTCCTCATAATCTCCACACTCTTCCCAGCCTCGGCGTTCCTGATCCCGTTTCCCCGTTTCCCCTTTTCTTCCTGCCTCTTCACCCCCTTGGTATCGCTCTCCTTCGCCCCTCCTCTCACGGCTCTCTCTCTCGGGCCACCTTCTTGCTTCTTCGCTTGTTTCCTTTGCAGCCCTTCTCTCTGCCCACAGGTGTTCTTCTGCTTTCTCACGGCGCGCTCCTGCCTGTTCCCTTGAGGCGCTGGGTGGCGATCGTATGCTACCCCTGCCTCGCGCCTTCTCCGCTGGCCGCCGCCTCCTTGCTGGCGAGTGCTGAACGCGCTTTCCTTCGTAATCCTCGTCCTCCTCCTCTTCTGACCATTCCAGCGATCTCCCTTCTCCCATCGCCATACGCCTCCTGCCCGCACGGCCTTGTCCTGGCTCGGGCGAACGATACACTCCTGCTGGTGCAGCACGCCTCTTCTCCTCCTCCCCTCGCTCCCTTGACCAGGGCTCAGCTGCTTTGCTCCTGCTGCGCCTCGCTTCACTCCCGCGCACCTCCTCTGGCGCGCGTTCTGCCTCCGCGCGATTCCCCTCGCGCCTCGCTTCCTTCCCGCGCACCTCCTCTGGCGCGCGATCTGCATCCGCGCGATTCCCCTGGCGCCTCGCTTGACTCCCGCGCACCTCCTCTGGCGCGCGATCTGTATCCGCGCGATTCCCCTGGCGCCTCGCTTGACTCCCGCGCACCTCCTCTGGCGCACGATCTGCCTCCGCGCGATTCCCCTGGCGCCTCGCTTGACTCCCGCGCACCTCCTCTGGCGCGCGATCTGCCTCCGCGCGATTCCCCTGGCGCCTCGCTTCCTTCCCGCGCACCTCCTCTGGCGCGCGATCTGCATCCGCGCGGTTCCCCTGGCGTTTCGCGCCGCCCCCACCCATTTCGTCGGTCGCGCCATCTGCCTCCGCGCTCCCGCGTCGCCTTGCGCCACTCCCACACACTTCGTCTGTCGAGCGATTTAATCCCGTCGCCTCTCCGCGTTCTTCACGTTTTTCTCCACGACGCCTCTCGCCTGCCTTGCGCATGTCGCCCGGCGAGTGATCTTCTTCCTCGTCCATGGGATCATCCTCCGCCAACTCCTCGCCGTCGGCCTCCTTTGCCAACATCAGCGAGTCCGTCTCATCGGCATCCTCCTGACGCCTTACTCCCGCGCCCCGCTGGCCTCTTGCCAGATCCCAGGGATCGCTCTTCGACGGCTGGGGTCCTGGCGCCGATCTCATCTGCAGACCGAGCTCGCCTTCACCGTGCAGTCCGTCACTGGTCGCCATCCAATCCGCCCGATCCGCCTCTCTGCTAGGCGAGCAACCTGGCGATCTTCCCCGCTCCTTTGAGCGCATCCTTCGCGACGGCGGTATCTCCCGCCGCGAGTACGTCCGCTGCCACCGCAGCTCATGGCAGTCCATACTGCCTATCTGCTTCTCTCGTCTTGTGAGAAGTTTACTCTCCCACACGATGGCTGCCCACAGTGGCGTAGTCACCTAGCTATGTAGCCTTGTTGCGGTAACGTTATCCACTATATGAGGCAAACAAGACGAGAGAACAGGTTTGCTATGCTAGGCTAGGCTATTTGTGCTTGGCTGCCCAGTCGCGAGTAACTCAGCGTGCTGGGTTGAGCTCGAGCCGCCTTGGCCTTGGAGTGGCCCTCGCCAGATTGCCTGTCTCCCGAGGTTCCTGAAATTGTCCCCGAAGCGCCCTGTAACCCCCAGTGCTACCAACTTCTCGCTACTCTCTATAACCCAACTACCCCACATGCAGATTGAATAACACTCGCTAAACCACTTCTACACCCAATTAGCATATGTCTCCAATATGATGCTCTTACCATTATATTTGGTGACAAACCCAACCCACCAGAGGATGAGCACGGACGCCCCCAGGTCGAGCCAGCTGTTGATGGCGACGGCGCCGGAATAGGCAAGGGCGTCCCTCACGTACGTCCCACCCACATCCCACCTACACACCCCCAGCACACCACAGCAGACCCAACCCACCAGAGGATGAGCACGGACGCCCCCAGGTCGAGCCAGTTGTTGATGGCGACGGCGCCGGAGTAGGCAAGGGCGTCCCTCACGCCCTTTGCCATGGCTGCCATGGTCTTGCTCTCGTACCGCTCCCTCTCCACCCCCTCTGTTGAGAATGCCCGCACTGTGCGGATATTGCTCAAGGCCTCCGATGCTGCACTGTTCGCCTCTGCTAGCACCTGGGAAGCGAGGGGTGAGACGGGGGGACAGAGGGAACAGGGATTGGAGGACGAAGGGATGGGAGGGAATGGAGATGTGAGGTGACGGGACAGACACCACACGAGGGACGGGACGGGAGGACATGGCTGCCATGGTCTTGCTCTCGTACTGCTCCCTCTCCACCCCTTCGGTGGAAAACGCGCGCACTGCGCGGATATTGCTCAAGGCCTCCGATGCTGCACTGTTCGCCTCTGTTAGCACCTGCCAGAGAAGGACACGCAGGCAAGGGGGGGAAAGGAGCAGTGGGGATGGCAAGGGGCACAGATGGGCCGCCATGGTCTTGCTCTCGTACTGCTCCCTCTCCACCGTCTCTGTTGAGAATGCCCTCACTGTGCGGATGTTGGACAGAGCTTCTGAGGCTGCACTGTTCGCCTCTGCTAGCACCTGGGAAGGGGTGGGGGAACACAGCGATGGGAGGAATGGGGATGGAAATGGGGACGGGAGGCCATGGCTGCCATGGTCTTGCTCTCATACCACTCCCACGAGGTCACAAAGCACAGCAGCACACCGCCCACCACCGACGCCAGATTCCCGCACCAGCATCAACAGCTGCCAGTTAATCGGCTGCGTGTGTGTCCCTTTCATAGCACACTCTCACACAGACACACTTACCCAACCCCTCTCCCCCTCCCTATCCCATCCCCCGTCCCCCACCAGCCATCCCCTCCCCCACCAGCCATCCCCTCCCCCACCAGCCATCCCCGTCCCCCACCAGCCATCCCTCCCCCACCAGCCATCCCCTCCCCGACCAGCCATCCCCTCCTCCACCAGCCACTTACCGCGTATCGCTTCCTGTTCAAATCTCTCGACCAGCGCGAGTAAACAGCCGTGATGTGCAGAATGGGCGCCATGGTCGTAAACGCCAGAATGCTGAGCTTCCACGAAGTCACAAAGCACAGCAGCACGCCGCCCACCAGCGACGCCAGATTCCGCACCAGCGCCGACAGCTGCCAGTTGATTGGCTCACTCATCGCCGCCACGTCATTGGTCAACCTAGAAGTCAGCTCTCCGGTGGTTGTCGAGTCGAAATACGCGATGTCTTGGATGATCACGCCCTCGAAGAGTTTGTCCTGGAGGGTTTTGAGCACGCGCTTGCCGACCACGGAGAAGCAGAGGCCGCGCAGGCCGCCGAAGATGCCGGTGATGAGCGAGCAGAGCGCCATCGCTAGGACGTCCCGATGGAACTGGGCTTTATCCACGTGCCCGTCCTTCACATCGTCCACAATGCGACCCTGAGGGAGGGAGAAAGCGAGGGTGGGAGTCGGGAGGTGGGAGAGGGGGAGGTGGGAGAGGGGAGGTGGGAGCAGAGGAGGTGGGAGCTGAGCTTGTCCTGGAGGGTTTTGAGGACGCGCGTGCCGATGACAGAGAAGCAGAGGCCGCGCAGGCCGCCGAAGATGCCGGTGATGAGCGAGCAGAGCGCCATCGCCAGCACGTCCCGGTGGAACTGGGCTTTATCGGCGTGCCCGTCCTTCACATCATCAACAATGCGACCCTGAGGAAGGAAGGGAGCAAAGAAGAGGTGGAAGTGGAGCATGGGGACAGGGTTTATCCAGTGATGAGGGAGTGAGGGGCCCCATGCTCACGGGGACATTTGTGCCTCAGAGACAGGCGGGAGAAAGGCACAAGGGACAAGCAGAGGCCGCGCAGGCCCCCCAAGAAGCCAGTGATGAGAGAGCAGAGCGCCATGGCCAGCACGTCCCGATAGAACTGGGCCTTATCCACGTGTCCGTCCTTCACGTCATCCACGATTCGACCCTGTTGTGTTGGAAGACGGTGGGACGTAGGGAGTGACAACGGCGATGAGGCAGCAAAGAGGCGTGTTTCGCATTGTCTACAATCCCGCCCTGGTGAACGGGATGCTGTGACGGCGGATTTAGTCAAATTCCCGAATCCACTCTAAGAACTGACTCGCTTATTATGAGCTCCTGCTGGTTGTCAGCCACTTCGCACTGCAACACGTGCACAAGCTCTCACCTGGTAGGTGGGGATGAGCAGCCCCGCCCCCGACGTGACAGCAAGGCAGGTGAAGCCCGTGACTATAAGGGGCAGCTCCTTGTAGGCGAGGCCGATGGAGCGCAGCAGGTACTGCCGGGGGGTGAGAACCTTCTCAAAACGGATTCCCTTGTCCCCTCTAAGAGCTGTCTCGTCTAGCGCCTCCTCCTGCCCCTGCTGCTTGCTGCTGGGCCCACGAGTCGTCTTCTTTGTCCCACTGTTCATAGGTTTTAAAGGTGGACAAGTGGACGGGAAGCAAACGAGAGGAAAAGGTGAGACTCAATCACGTATTTTTATTGGGAGGGGAGGCGAAGGGGGGAAGTGGGTTTTCAGGGCGCCTAAAGAACGGAACATGGATCGAGGGGCCAGGAGGGTGAGTGGGTGTGGTGGAGATTGGGAATTTCCCAACGCCCACTGACAAACCGTCTCACCACCGACCTGGTAGCGCCGCGTGAGCCGGCAGCAGAGGTCGTGACCTCCAATCCGCCTCCACTCTCCCCTTCAGAAGATCTCCTACTCGCCCCGTGCCCATGCCCATGCCCATGCCCATGCCCATGCCCATGCCCATGCGCATGCTCCGCCTTGTCCTTTAGTGCCAGAGCCCGCCCAAGCACACCGCTGCACTCGGAGAGGTTGCCGAGGAGGGTGGACTCGGCGTTGATCCAGATGATGGCCGACCCCATCAGCCAGCCCTGCAGGAACTCGCTGGGGAAGGCGAAGTTGACGCACTTGGCGCCCACATACACCTGGTGAGGAGGGGAGGGGATGGAAGGGGAGGTGATGGGTGGAGAGGGGTTGGGATGGGTTAGAGGAGGGTGGACTCGGCGTTGATCCAGATGATGGCCGACCCCATCAGCCAGCCCTGCAGGAACTCGCTGGGGAAGGCGAAGTTGACGCACTTGGCGCCCACATACACCTGGTGAGGAGGGGAGGGGATGGAAGGGGAGGTGATGGGTGGAGAGGGGTTGGGATGGGTTAGAGGAGGGTGGACTCGGCGTTGATCCAGATGATGGCCGACCCCATCAGCCAGCCCTGCAGGAACTCGCTGGGGAAGGCGAAGTTGACGCACTTGGCGCCCACATACACCTGGTGAGGAGGGGAGGGGATGGAAGGGGAGGTGATGGGTGGAGAGGGGTTGGGATGGGTTAGAGGAGGGTGGACTCGGCGTTGATCCAGATGATGGCCGACCCCATCAGCCAGCCCTGCAGCAGCTCGTTGGGGAAGGCGAAGTTGACGCACTTGGCGCCCACGTACACCTGGGAGAGGGACAGGGGAGACAGGATGGGGGAGAGGGGGCATGAGAGGGGGGGTACTTGCTCGTTGGGGAAGAGATGGGGGAGAGGGGCGGGGAGGATCAGAGGGGAGAGCACAAAAGAGATGTAAATGCACTTGATAGGAATAAAACGCACGTAGTTTGTGTGTACGGACCTGGAAGAAGGTGCAGAGGAAGAAGTAGACGAAAACTGTCACGTCCTTGGACTACACATCGCTCATCCACTCGACTTTTGAGTTGACTCAAAAATATGCAAGAGATGAACAGGTTACATACAGGAACGCGCTAGTGAAACACAGACCTGGAAGAAGGTGCAGAGGAGGAAGGAGACGAAGACCGTCACGTCCTTGGACGACACATTGCTCATCCACTCCTTAAAGCCCTGGTCCTCCTCCTCCTTCTTCCACGATATCACCTCGTGCTTCTTCTCCTCCTCCTCATCCTCCTCCTCTTCCTCCTTCTCCTTCTCCTTATCTGTTCCCCGAGCCAGAAGCGGAGAATTCAAACCCCCATTCATATCATGGGACCCTCTTCTCGCTGCATTGGCTCCTGATCCGCCTTCTGCCCTCCCCTTCTGTTCCTTTTTCGGAATTTCAAGCTCCCAGCCTTCCTGCCACGCGTACCGAGCAGCTACTTCTGATAGGATCGACAGAGAGATTGCTCTGACCATCGCAATCAGGATGAGATCGAGGGAGTCTGATCTAAAGCTGAGGAGGCTTTTAACGAATTCGTTGAAGGAGCTGAAATCGGGAGTCCAGAAGGAGTTGTGGAGAGAATAGTGCAGAGCCTGGCCAGGAAAAGAAACGAAGCGGAGAAAGACAAGGAACAAGGGTAAGAATAGAGAGAGAAAGGAAGGAAGAAAGAAGGAAGCGGATCGTGCAGTCAGGCCAGGACACACTACTGAGAAGAATATATCAGCTTCATAAGCTACAATCTGATGAAAATCCTGCAAAAAGGAGTTGCAATGATCAGACTTGTCGGAATTCTCAGGGCTACACGAAGGGGTTGGACTTACAAGAGTGAAGGCAATATCGATTCCAACAGCGACGAAGAACGCCACTCGAGCCCACTTCACGTGTCGCGCTGCGGCGATCGGGTCCGTCGTACCGACGTACTTAAGCGGCTGCTCTGACACCTTCGCCTTCGCCTTCGCCTTCCCTAACTTCCCCATCCCCACCCCCCGTCAATTTCTAAACGGAGACTTGACACTCCTGCTCTAAGCTAAACGGAGACTTGGCAATTATGCAACGAAACGTGACCAGCTCAGGGTCAGCTCGAATAGAAGCTGAATTTCACTTCGAGTGGATTCAGAGGCTGGATGGAAGGATCTGTGGCTTTGACTGGCCGCTCCAAGTGCTCTGGCGAGAAAACGGAATCTGAGAATCGAAGAGCACCACACTGTGACACTTTTCACTAACCTACTACCATTCCAGGTAGTTCCGTCTACGCGTTGATCAGCAGCTACGAATCTACCCAGAATTGCTCCTCACAACGACTTTCCCTGACAAACAAGGCTTGGAATGATACCTGACAGAAGGGGACGAGCCTGAGCAATTGAAGAACCCATCCGACTTGTAGGAGACTATATGATGAGAGAGCACAGGAGCGAAAACTGGGATGAATGGTTGTGGGGTGGAGTACGCTGGCTTCTGGTTCTGCTTATTCTGTTGCGGTACAAAACGGTACTCCGCGTTAAGCGTGTTTTTCTGGATGACAGTCCAATACCTCGCTGCTGTGATCCTCGAAAGTGTCGAACATGTGGGTTGATCTGACGGCGATTAATGCCTGCACTTAGAAATTGACGGTTCCGATATCCTGATATTACGGATGAGGGGGTCAAGTGTTCACCATGCGGATACCACGAAACCACGGCACAGTGGTGATGTGCCGCGTGAATGCGGCTTTTGATTCAACAGCGTAAGAGATGAGACTGCCGTGGTTGGTTGGCTGTACGGAGACGTACATACGTACGTACGCCATCCACCGAATTTCCCTCACCAGCCAATCCTCCAGCTTCGCCATATAAACGCGTTGCAGAGGTCTCCGTTTTTTCACACCGCATTTCTTGGGTGGTGTGCAGCTGTGATGAGTACATTGCAGCTGTGATGTGTACATACACAGACACATACAAGTTGTGTTGTGTGGCCTCTTTATTTCAATGCAACCCTCAAGCAGTCCAACCACCAAGTGAAAAAATCAATGGCCAGGCCTTGAAGCGTACCGAGCTAGATGCAAACCTGACACATCCCATACCACCACTTTCCCATCTAGGCCTGCCAATAGAGATGCAAAACCAACCAAGGGAGAAGTTAGATGAAATCTTAACAAGACTCTTAGAACCTTTCGCTGGGAATACCGTACTAGTGCTTAAAACGCCTGACTGAACTGAATCCAGAACCGGCAGAAATATCAAAGAAACAAATATGCAGTCGAGACGCTACGTGCATCACCATATTGCCCACCTGATGTCGAGAATTGCTGAATGATTGAATCGTCTGCTGATCCCAATGGTCGAATGCAGCTGCGGCAAGAAATCACATATAAGACAAAAAGGGCAACAAAGGATGGTAGTGAGCTCAATGCCACTTGGCAGAACAAGAGCTGTTGCTGCACAAATAGACAAGACATGTGATGCCATCCGAGTGAACCGTGCTCGGTCCTTCACAGTCTCCCCCCGTTGAATAGACTCAGGATCTGTTGCACAAACGGACAACTCACGTGATGCAGTCCTGGTGAACAGTGCTGGGTCCTTTAGAGAGCTCCGAGTCGGGAATGGAGGGGGCGTTGGGAGCAGCGTCGTTCAGGGAGGAGCGGAGAGAATTGCCTCGCTCCATCGACCGACCGAACGTGTCCTTCTGAAGAGCGGGAGGAGGGATCATGGGAGAGGAGAGAGGACTTCTGAGATTTCTCATAGGGGTGTTGGGAGCAGTGTCGTTTAAGGCCGGAGCGGAGAGAATTCCCGCGCTCCATCGACCGACCGAACGCATCCTTCTGATATGTGGGAGGTGGGATCATGGGAGAGGAGAGAAGAAACGAGAAATGAGGGAGGGAACAAAGCAAAAAATGGATGAGAGATATGGGTCCAAAAGGGGGACTCATTATGGATTATAAAAGCATCAGCAGTAGAGGTGTCAAGGGCAGACTCATTCGAGGAAGTAAAATGGAGATGCTTTTATAATCTCAGAAAAGAGGGAAGATAAGAATGAGCGGGAGGGGGGGAGAGGAGATGGAGTTACCGCAGAGAGAGCCGCACCAGTGGCCGTGCCAGAGGGCTCCTCGGATCCATCCAATACTCTCACAAACGTCCTGAGAGTGCAGACACAGAGAAGGCGAGTATTGAAGGGAGTGGGGAGGTTATATGAGTGAAGGTGGGCTCCTCAGAACCATCCAATACCCTCAAAAACGTCCTGAGAGTGTGCAGATAGAGTGAAGGCGAGTAAGGGAAGGAAGTGGGGAGGTCACACGAGTGAAGGTGGGCTCCTCCAAGCCATCCAATACTCTCACAAACGTCCTGAGAGCGTGCAGAGACAGGGAAGGCGAGGGAATGGAGTGGGGAGGTTGTATGAGTGAAGGTAGGCTCCTCAGAACCATCCAATAGTCTCACAAACGCCCTGAGAGCGTGAAGACATGAGGGAAAAAGGGGAAAAGGAGGAGGGAGGAGGTGGGGATTGACAGGAAGGGTATGGGGAGGGTGCAGTAATGGGGAATGGGGGCACAGAGGATAGCATGATTACCTTGCACGGAGTGGCTTGCCATCGCATGGGGTTTATGGCGCGTAAATATCGACACCACTCACCACATGCCAGTGCTGTCTATCAGCACCACTCACCACGTGCCGCTGATATCAGCAACTCTCACTATGTGCTGCTGCTGTCACCACCACCCACTCACCACACGTCAACACCTCAGCACTGAAGAGAAAGGGGTTACAATCAAAACCAGCATCCACACGCCAGCACGATCTGTGCACTCACCACATGTACCATTGCTGTTTCCCCCCACCACCCACTTACCAAGTGCCATTGGCATCGGCACTGAAGAGAATGGGGTTGTAGTCAAAACCAGCTGCCACCAGCAGGCGATCAGAGAGGAAGAGAACCTGAAGGTGCATGGGAGGGATGGAGAGGATGTGGCCCCGTGGGAGCCAGAGGGGAGAAAGAGGGATTGAGAAGTGTCAGAATCTAAAAAGAATGTAGGAAGCAAGAAGAAGACATGGCCAATCCGAAAGGAAGGGAACCTGACGGTGCATGGGTATAAAACAGTGATAGGGTGCGGAAAGGCAACATGGCGGAAAGGCAACATGGCGGAAAGGCAACATGGCGGAAAGGCAACATGGCGGAAAGGCAACATGGCGGAAAGGCAACATGGCGGAAAGGCAACATGGCGGAAAGGCAACATGGCGGAAAGGCAACATGGCGGAAAGGCAACATGGCGGAAAGGCAACATGGCGGAAAGGCAACATGGCGGAAAGGCAACATGGCGGAAAGGCAACATGGCGGAAAGGCAACATGGCGGAAAGGCAACATGGCGGAAAGGCAACATGGCGGAAAGGCAACATGGCGGAAAGGCAACATGGCGGAAAGGCAACATGGCGGAAAGGCAACATGGCGGAAAGGCAACATGGCGGAAAGGCAACATGGCGGAAAGGCAACATGGCGGAAAGGCAACATGGCGGAAAGGCAACATGGCGGAAAGGCAACATGGCGGAAAGGCAACATGGCGGAAAGGCAACATGGCGGAAAGGCAACATGGCGGAAAGGCAACATGGCGGAAAGGCAACATGGCGGAAAGGCAACATGGCGGAAAGGCAACATGGCGGAAAGGCAACATGGCGGAAAGGCAACATGGCGGAAAGGCAACATGGCGGAAAGGCAACATGGCGGAAAGGCAACATGGCGGAAAGGCAACATGGCGGAAAGGCAACATGGCGGAAAGGCAACATGGCGGAAAGGCAACATGGCGGAAAGGCAACATGGCGGAAAGGCAACATGGCGGAAAGGCAACATGGCGGAAAGGCAACATGGCGGAAAGGCAACATGGCGGAAAGGCAACATGGCGGAAAGGCAACATGGCGGAAAGGCAACATGGCGGAAAGGCAACATGGCGGAAAGGCAACATGGCGGAAAGGCAACATGGCGGAAAGGCAACATGGCGGAAAGGCAACATGGCGGAAAGGCAACATGGCGGAAAGGCAACATGGCGGAAAGGCAACATGGCGGAAAGGCAACATGGCGGAAAGGCAACATGGCGGAAAGGCAACATGGCGGAAAGGCAACATGGCGGAGAAACTCGCTCAACAGTGCAAAAGAGAGTCAACAGAGGAGAGGGGGGGGTACAGCTTGCATGTCGCAGAGGTAGATTGGAGGGTGACGGAGAGGTGTGGGAGGGGGGGAGGGGAAGGGAGAGTGGGAAGGTAAAGAAGGCGGAAGTGACGAGGGTAAGTAATGGGTGGGCTTAAATCGCACAATGGGAGGTATCGGAGCGAGATGGAGTGGGGGGGGTGAGGGAAAGGTGAGAGAGGTGAGAGGGGAAGGTAGAGTGGGAAAGCAAAGAAGTGTTTACACTTACACATCACGCAGCGGGAGGTCTCGCAGGGAGGTGAGGGAGGTAAGCGGGAGAAGTGGGGAGGTGAAAAAGGGGGAGGCAGTAAAGAAGGGGGAAGTGGGGAGGGTAAAAGGTGGTATCAGAGTAGGCGGCATCAGAGGAGGCGGCATCAGGGGAGGCGGCACTAGGGAAAGCAGCAGAAGCTTATGAAGCAGGTGCCTCCTTACTTCCTGCTGCTTAGTTTTCCATACTCTGCTTCCGCTTTCCCTAGTGCCACCTCCCTTAATGCCGCCTGCCCTGATGCCGCCTTCCCTAATACCGCCTGCCCTGATGCCGCCTACCCTGATGCTGCCTACCCTGATGCCACCTCCCATAATACCACTTACGTCTCGCAGCGGGAGGTATCGCAGGGAGATGGAGTGGAGGGTGAGGGAGGGGCCAACGTCATTGATGAAATGGATGGTGGAGTCATGGCCTGGGTGCATGTGTACATGCATGTGCATGAGCAGCACATGATGCATGTGGAGCGACAGGTGAGGGAGTGGAGAGGAGAGGGAGGGAGGGGCCGACATCCTTGATGAAATGGATGGTGGAGTCATGGCCTGCATGACCATTTGAGCACAGAGCACATGGAGCACAGTACAGGGCAGAGCACGTGGAAAACAACCCTTTAGACCGCTCCGAAGTTCAGAGTCACTAGGGCTGGCGCATTCACCAATGAAGGAAAGGTTGGCCCGTGAAGGCCAAGTCGAGCTGCAAGAGCTGAGCCCTTAAGCATCTCCGCCGGCTGACTGATTGACTCACCAACAAAGGCGAGGTTGCCTTTTGATGGAGACCACTTGGCTCCAAACGTCCACCCAAACGTTAAGTCAAGCTGCAGTAGTTGCTGCTTGGAGGGGCAACTCACAATGACTCACACGGCTTCACTCACCAACAAAGGCGAGGCTTGCCCCTGAAGAAGCCAAGTCAAGCTGCAAGAGTTGAGCCCTGGGGCATCTCAAATGGCCGATTGACTCATCAACAACTTACAAGGGCTGGCTGGCTGGCTGGCTGGCTGGCTAGCTGGCTGGCTGGCTGGCTGACTAATTGACTCACCAACTAAGGCAAGGTTCGCACCTGAAGGTGACCACTTGACAAAACGTCCACCCGAATGCCAAGTCGAGCCGCAAGAGTTGAGCCCTAGGGCATCTCAAAGGGCTGACTGACTCACCAACAACTCACAAGGGCTGGCTGGCTGGCTGACTGGCTGACTGGCTGACTGACTGACTTACTGACTCACCAACAACTCACAAGGGCTGGCTGACTGGCTGACTGACTGGCTGACTGACTTACTGACTGACTTACTGACTGACTTACTGACTCACCAACAACTCACAAGGGCTGGCTGGCTGGCTGACTGGCTGACTGGCTGACTGACTGACTGACTCACCAACAAAGGCGAGGTTGGCCCCTGAAGGCGACCACCTGGCCCCAAACGTCCACCCGAATGCCAAGTCAAGCTGCAGAAGTTGCTGCTTGGAGAAAAAGAGAGATGGATGCGGAGGGGAGGGGATGGGAAGGAAGGGGACGGGGGCCGATAGAGAGGGGGTTGAGGGGGAAGAGAGATGAGGAAAGGCGAGATAACGGAAGGAATTGCAATGAACTGTTGAGAGTAAGCAAAGGAGAAAGGGCAAGACGGGTGGGAGGGCTTGATTTGAGAGGATGTTGATTTGAGAGGATGTTGTAGGCCTCAAGCTTCACAGATAGCCATAACCTCGTGTCCATCCCATCCCTAGCTCGCAGACTAGTTTTGAGGCGCCTCAAAACTTGATTTGAGAGGATGTTGTAGTTGTAGGCCTCAAGCTTCACAGATAGCCATAACCTCGTGTCCATCTCTAGCTCGCTCACCTCTCTAACAATCCCATTTCCTGCCTCCCGTCCCCACCCATCCCATTCCCTGCCTCCCCTCGCTGCGTTCCCCACCTCACCTCACCACCCAGCCCACTCCCCGCCTCACCTCACCCCCCAGCACACTCCCCACCTTGCATCAACACCCATCCCATTCCCCGACTCACCTCACCCCTGAGAATCCACCAGAGGAAGAGCTCTCCGAGCTGGGCAGAGGGGAAGAAGCCTGGCTTGGGGCAAAAGGTCACCTCTCCACCAATCCCATCCCATTCCCCGCCTCACCTCGGCACCCATCTCATTTCCCACCTCACCTCGCCAAACTTCCCTGAGAATCCACCAGAGGAAGAGCTCTCCGCACTGGGCAGAGGGGACAAGCGTGGGTTGGAGGGTAAAAGGTCAAGAGGACAATCCAAGAAGAGAAGTGAAATACACACAGAGTTGCGAAGACGGTATTCAATGGAGTGACGAGAATGAGCAGAGTGAGAGAATGTTTAAGTTACGCGGATGAAGAGGAGGAGGATACCTTTTTGAATCAACCCCTTTAATTGTTGCTGAGAATATCCGGCACTTGTTGTCTGTGCATGTGGTTGCGAGTAGAAGCTGCAAGAAGGAGGCGGCGTGGAGGGAACAGAGGGGGAAGAGGGGAGAGAAAGGAAGGAATCAGTTATTTTTTTCCCAGGGTGGAGAGAGGAGAAGGAAACAGCAGTACAGTCAAAGAGTCTTATTCTGAGACGACTTATGAGTCGTGAATCGTCTCATGGTCTAGTGGCCCTGGTGGTGGTAACCACATTCGAGATCTCATATGTAACGTCTCACATTGTTTGGGTGCCAGGCAACGCTGGTGACTGAAGAGGCATGCTTCTTGCGAATCACCTTGCTCACCCACCTGCGAGCATACACACACACGTGCAAACACATATGTGTGTCTGTTATTGTATCACTTCACATAGTCACGTACCATTGTCTTTCCACAAGAGTATACCTGTCAGTGGTTCTGTTTCGTTATAAGCACATACCAGCTGTTCTCGTCATCGTAGTAGCACACGCTGACAGTCTTGGACCCACTCCCCACTGCAAACTTGTTCTCTGCACGAGAAACAAAAAAATGTGAATGCGAATAATAAAAACACGCTGTTTTCGTCATCGTAGTAGCACACGCTGACAGTCTTGGTTGGACCAACTTCCTACAGCAAACTTGTTCTCTGCACCGTGAACAAGATAGAGGTATGTGTAAGTAATGAATCGTGTTTTGAGTCGACTCAAGACATGACAGTCTTGGACCCACTTCCTATGGCAAACTTGTTCTCTGCATGGTAAACAAGAACGTGTTCATAGAGGCATGGCTAAGTAATGATTGAGCGGCATAATAGACAGTGCTGAAAACAGACATTTGGACCTAATAAGTGAGCGAAGAAGTTGGAACATTCATTGAGCTAAACAGCACGTGCTGCTGTATTGTAATCACTTCTGAGAGTTCTCAAATGCGATGTCATTGAGATGAGCAGCACGTGCTGCTGTAGTCCAATCACCCAACCCTCACCTGGGAAACTCCATTCGTCTCAAAATCCTCACCTGGGAAACTCCATTCACCTCAAAATCCTCACCTGGGAAACTCCATTCGTCTCAAAATCCTCACCTGGGAAACTCCATTCGTCTCAAAATCCTCACCTGGGAAACTCCATTCGTCTCAAAATCCTCACCTGGGAAACTCCATTCGTCTCAAAATCCTCACCTGGGAAACTCCATTCGTCTCAAAATCCTCACCTGGGTTACTCCATTCGTCTCAAAATCCTCACCTGGGAAACTCCATTCATCTCAAAATCCTTACCTGGGAAACTCCATTCATCTCAAAATCCTCACCTGGGAAACTCCATTCATCTTAAAATCCTCACCTTGGGAACACCATTCATGCCACCCTCACCTTGGGAACTCCATTCGTCCCACCCTCACCTTGGGAGCTCTAGTTGCCGCACCCTCACCTTGGGGACTCCATGCAACACAGAGAGCCGCCCTGTTGAGTCTCAGAATAACCAGTGATGCCCTCCACTCCCCCTCCACCCAGTCGACTTTTGATTCAACTCAAAACTCACTTTGCGTCAACTCAAAATTCCTCAAACCCTCACCTTGAGAACTCCATTCGTCTCAAAACGCTCACCTTGGGGACTCCATGCAACACAGAGAGCCGCCCTGTTGAGTCTCAGAATGACCAGTGCCGCTCTCCACTCCCCCTCCACCCAGTTCCACACGTACCTGTGCGTGCAGGCCAAGGGGGGGGAGGGAGGGAGGGCCATATGGAGGAGGGGGTGAAGTGGGAGTGTGGTTGGGTCAAAAGCGCATGTCCAGTCCAGCCCTCCACTCCCCCTCCACCCAGTTCCACACGTACCTGTGCGTGCGGGGCCAAGGGGGGGTGAATAGGAAGGAAGAGGCAGATGGAAGGAGGGTGGTGAGGGCAGGAGGGGGAGGGTGGGAAGGGGGGGAGGGGAGGAGAGGGGGGTTGACCGACGTCCCTCCACTACTCCGCAACCCAGTTCCACTCATCCAATGATCGTTAAGAGGAGCAGGAGTGCGAAGTGCCATGCGTTCCCCAGGCAAGACTCACGAGTTGCGGTCGTGTGAGCAAGTGACAATGCGGTTCTTCTTGGCGCCCCAGTCCACGCCTGATATCAGGTCCTCGTGCTGCCATGCCATGCCATGCCGTATGGATACCAGAAAGTGCCATGCCATACCAATGAGTTGTGCCATGCCATACAAATTATGTCATGCCATGACAACAAGCATGCGATGCCATACCAGCAATACATGCCATGTCAAGAATGCCAAATGGGGTGGTTGAACAGACAAAGATTGGGTATGCCCCAGATGGGGTGGTTGAACAGACAAAGATTGGGTATGGGGGGAAAAGCTCAGAAAATGGGGTGGTTGAACAGACAAAGATTGGGTATGGGGGGAAAAGCTCAGAAAATGGGGTGGTTGACAGACAAAGATTGGGTATGGGGGGAAAAGCTCAGAAAATGGGGTGGTTGACAGACAAAGATTGGGTATGGGGGGAAAAGCTCAGAAAATCACACATACGGCATCCCCCTGATGCAGACAGTTCGAACTAGGTACAGGGGGAGGGAGGTGAGAGGCGGTGGGAGAAGGAGGAGAGAGAGCAGCGGAGGAGCAGAGGAGGGAAGTGGGGGGAGTAGAACAGTGTTGGCGAAACGTGATGTAGACAAAGACTGCAGGCCGGTAGTTTCGTGCTTGAGGTTGAAATTCAAACAAGCTCTTTTACAATTGGAGCACGACTGTTTCTATCACTCTTATGACCTCTTTCCTGGTCCTCCTAAATTTCAAATGCGTGTACCTTGGACAGCGTGTGTAGCTTCTCCCACTGTTTCTCATCATCCGCGATATTAGCCTTGAATATCCACAGCTCCGATGTTCGCGGGCTGACGGCCACCACTGCATTGGACAAGTGGGAATGAGAGGGAGTGAGTGCAGTGTGAGAGAAGCAGGGTGCAGTGTGCGACGTTGTACAGAGGAGACTTTTGAGTCGACGTGACTTTTGTTGAGTCGACTCAAAAGTCACCAAGTGGGAATGAGAGGGAGTGGGTGTGAGAGAAGCAGGGTGCAGTGTGCGATGTTGTAGAGAGGCAGAGGACAGGTGATCGGACGTCCAGCGTGGGAGCTGTCTTTGCTAAAACAAAGACCCCGTTGTCCAAGAGGAGGAGCTGAGACGAGTAGACAGCCTGGCCAAGAGGAGGAACGGAGTCTAACTCAATGGCCCCGAATGCTGCTCTAAGTGTCGCTGATCGCCAATGACTCAGTTTGAAGGGAGCAGCAGAGGTAGTCAACACGAACAAGCCATCAAACACTAGTTTCTTCTATCGTAGTTGCGACTCAACTGTTGCCATTCCACGCGTGGCAGGAGATCGATGATGCCAAGCTGAAAGGCGACGCGTCCGCCATGGCGAAAGCGCCGCTTCAACGGGGATACGAAATGAAACTCAGAAATAGATGCTTCTGCTGACCCTGGCGACACGCGGCGTGGTGAAATGCATCGATTGCCAGGAGTATGTGAGGCTGTTGAATAACCTAAAGCAGATGCGACAGGGTGTGGTTGATGCTCGCACTCAGACCTCCACCATACGATACCTCACTTCATCGTAAAGAAAATGGTCAATTATCGTATACAGAACCGAACTCTACGACCTTGTGAACGAAATGCACCGAGCCTGGTGCGAACCCATATCTTGCAGGTTTCGGTTGCTTTAGAGAGAATTTCAGTAGCGACAAATATTTGCATCCGAACTACATTTATTCGAATAATTTCAGTGCGCTCTACAGAAGTTATGTGGACCATATTTTTTTAACGATAATTCGTGTGCGGCTTCTTCAAGGTTTCCCTGCTGCCAACCTTGCAGGGGTTGACCTGTCGCCTGACAATCTCATGCTGACGCATACCTTGATCAGCAAAGGGGGCCCGAAAAGGTCAGCGGGTAAAAATCTACTTTCCCAGGCTGGCCCGGGAATCCCGAAATCCATGAGTTCAGGGACGCGTGGCACATTTTGATAAGACCATTTCCAAGCATCCTCCAACAACGCAGCTTCTTTTCAAGCACATCGCGGTTTTCAAGGGCAGCATCGCACGTGAGGTTGTCCATATGGTTGACCTGGGCCAACCGAACTGGCGAACGAAAAGTCTTGGAAAACCAATTCTGTGCCTTTCGCTGCGTTGGCAAATTACGACAGACCCAGTCTCAGCCGTATCCCTAAAAATTTCTGACCCTTATCCAACCAACCATTGGCTCCCAAACACCATCTTTACCTGCCCAGAACTTCCACGGAATGTTTTACCGGCCCACCAGGACTCGCTCCTGACGCACCGCGGGCAGGCTTGCACCACCCGTGTGAGATGCGAATTCAAGGGGCAGGTTGGCGAAGGGGCATGTGTGAACACGGATACGCATTCGCCTGCTCTGCTCCGGTTTTCTGCTCCGATCAGATCAGTGGAGTCGATTTGAATACAGATGAGCAGGGGAGAGGAGCATAATCTGCCCCATTCCTCCTTCCTTTCCCGCTTTTTCACCATTCGTTTCGTGCTTTCCTCCCTTCCTCCACAGAGCTAACATGTGCAGGAATCACGTCACCGCAGCATTCTTTCCTCACCAGTTATGTTTCACGTGTTGCGTGTTCTTTCTATGCATGTTGAGCTTTTGATCGTCATGATCAAGCACACTACTTTTCCAAATTGCTGCTTCGACGACTTTTAGGTTAATCTACCTCCTGTGATCGTGCGCTGCGGTGCGTTGCGGCCGTGAGCGCGCGTTGCGCACTTTACTCTCCACTATAATCGACACAGTATGGACGCCTCCGTAGCTCTTTCTCGTCATCCGACGCTCACCGTTCGTCCAATCGCCTCTCAACTAAAAGTAGGCTCAACCGCCCGACGGTTAACCCCCCTACGCACGCCGTCTCGTGTGCTGCTCAGAACCTCCCTTTTCGGAAAACCATTACTGTCGGAGCGGCAACGACTGCTGAAACGAGCACGCCTGTCGCTTACTGCTTCACCAAGAGTCCCACCCGCTGCTTCCCGCCCGATTTCGCCCTTCGCCCCCTCCCCATACCACCCCTATCGCCCCTACTCGTCTGTCTTCGTAGCGGCTCGGAGCAGGATCAAGCACACGCAGCGGCACCAACAGCCTTCGTGCTTCAGCGGTCCGTCGTCCGTAGGCGGCGCCCATGGGCCGACCAGTACTACTAGTAGTATCTGGCCGAATCAACTCCAGCAACCGCCTTCCTACTCGGTGCTGCAGACGGCAGCTGTAGCACAGTCGAGGCGGCAGCGGCGGCTACAGCCAGTACGAGCGCATGCGGTTACGGCGAGTTCCATTATCGAGGCCGCCGTCTCTGCGGTGGTCGCTGGGCCGATCCGGGACCTCGTTCTTGTCACACTCGGCGCAGTCGCGGCACTGCTGACCACGGCGCTCGTCCTCTGGCTGCGCCGACGAGCCGAACAACAGGTAAAAAGAGGAAGAGGAAGGTGATACAAACGGAAGGTGATAGCTGGAAGTTGGTACGCGACCTCGTTCTTGTCACACTCGGCGCAGTCGCGCCGCTGCTGACCACGGCGTTCGTCCTCTGGCTCCGCCGCCGAAACGAACGGCAGGTAATGCGCTGATGGTGATACAAACGGAAGGTGATACAAACGGGCTGATGGTGATACAAACGCAAGCTGGTAACCAGAACATTATCGAGGGAGTTTGGTGTTTCGCATTTCCTCGTCTGTTCTCGCCCACTCCTTTGTGTCACTCCATACACAGACTGTCTCTCCCTATCTGTTTCCCGCCCCCTCGTTTGTGTCACCCCATACAGAGACTCGTCTCGGCCGCCCGTCTTCCCACCCTTCCGTCCCGCTCCTCCTCCTCCTCTTCCATCCCCTCTCTCGATATCGCAACTGCAGCAGCAGCATCAGCAGCAGGAGAAGAAAACGGAACTGTCTCGGCAATAGTTCCTACTAAGCGTACAACCAATGGAGCCTTGTTATCAATGGATCATGGCCCTTACGCCACTGCAGTAGCCAACGCTGCTGCTGCTACAACTGCTACAGCTACAGCGGATCGGGCATCTCATAACGCGGATTATGGTCGGCTTGGCGGTCTACTGGCTGCTGAAACCGGTCCTGGTTACAACGGTTACGCCCAACTGAATGGGGTTGCTTCCAACGGCCATGCTCTTAACGGGTATGATCTTAACGGGCACGCTCACAACGGGCACGCTCTTAACGGGTATGCTCTCAACGGGTACGGTGTTAACGGGCACGGTCTTAACGGGTACGCAGTGCACAGCAGCACTGGCGAGGAGTTTTTCGGAGGCGAACAAGCCAGTCATACCGTAAAGGAACCCAGCAGGACCGCAAGCAACAGCGAAATCAGCAACAGCAGGGAGAGCAGCAGCAGCAGCAAGGACAGAAATAGCAACGCCACGAAGAAACCCCTCAGCAGCAGAACCGGCGGTGCCATCTGGTCTCACGGCCTGGCAAAGGCCTTTGGAATAGGCTCCGGTGCGGCAGCAGCAGCAGCTTCAGCTTCAGCAGCAGCGAGCAGCAAGAGCGGTGGTGCAGCAAGAGCAGGCGGCAAACCGAGCGGAAAAAATGGCTCCAAAGGAAGCACAGGCGCCAGCACGAAAGGAAGCCCCAGCACAAAGGCAAGCACTGGAAGCACAAAAGCAAGTGCAAGAGCAAATTCCAAGGCGAATGCAAAGGCGAGCACAAGCGCTGCTGCTGCTGGCAGCAGCGACAGGAAGCTTGGCGCGCCGACAGACGTGGGCGTGGGGATGCAGAAGGAATCAGTCGAATGGGTCAACATGGTGCTCCACAAGATGTGGAAAGTCTACAGACAACCCATAGAAACCTGGCTGGTAATCCGAATCCAACGCAGCATCGACAAGCTTCAGCCGACGCTCCCGGCGCCGTTCTCCCGGGTGGAAATCGCGGTGTTTACTCTGGACTACGAGCCGTTTGCTGTAAGAGCCGTGCAGCAGCGGCCGAGCAGGAAGGCGGACGACTTGCAGTACCATGTGGGGGTGCGGTATACCGGGGACGCGCATTGTATGATAAGGCTGCATTTGGAGGTGGGGGGTTTGAAGTGGTCCGTGCCGGTGGACGTGCATGACTTGGACGTGGATGCTGAGGTGTGGGTGAAGCTACGGCTGACGCCCAAAAAGCCGTTTGTTGCCAGCCTGTCACTCGCGTTCGTGCGCCTCCCAACTATCAAGCTTGTGCTCGCGCCCTTCCATGTTCTCAACGTCGTCGGCATCCCGTGAGTGTCTCTTCCCCTTTCCCTGTTACGCACCACCACACCCACACAAATACACGGGGGCACATGCACGCGCGCATAAGCACGGGTGGACGTGCATGACTTGGACGTGGATGCTGAGGTGTGGGGTGTGAGGTGTCAGGTGGTCAGTACCGGTGGTCAGAGGTGTGAGTTGGTCCGTGCCGGTGGACGTGCATGACTTGGACGTGGATGCGGAGGTGTGGGTGAAGCTACGCCTGACGCCGAAAAAGCCGTTTGTCGCCAGCCTGTCTCTCGCGTTTGTGCGCCTTCCAACTATCAAGCTGGTGCTCGCACCGTTCCACGTGCTCAATGTTGTCGGCATCCCGTGAGTATTTGGCCATGCGTGCACTCACGCACAAGCACCTGTCGCTCGCGTTCGTGCGCCTGCCGACCATCAAGCTGGTTCTCGCGCCCTTCCACGTGCTCAGTGTGGTTGGCATCCCGTGAGTTGGCTCCTTCAGGTGTATTCGGCTATGCACGCGCGCGCGCGCGCACACACACACACACCCACACACACAAGCACACACACACGCACACGCACACGCACATGCACAAAAAATTCACACACACAAGCACCTGTCGCTTGCGTGCGTTTGTTCACCTGCCGACAATCAAGCTCGTGCTCGCGCCGTTCCACGCGTTCAATATTGCCGGCATTCTGCGAGTATATGGCTATGCATGCTCACACACACACCCACACACTCACATAAGGACGATCTGAATGCACCCCCAAATCCCCCTCCGTTTGCTCCCCCTCCTCCCACACCTGCTCTCTCCCTTCCCCACCTTCACTATCCCACCTGCTTCTAACGAAGGACCTCCCACGTCTATATCCCGTAACACTCCTGCAACATTCCTCCACTCCTCCTCACTCCCTTCTATTCCCTCTTACCCCTTTGTTCCCCCCCATACCCCCAGATTCCTCTCTAAGCTTTTAACGGAGGACCTCCCGCGGCTTCTCGTGCTGCCGCGCCACATCAGCCTGGACTTCCTGCCACCTGGCATGGACGCTGACGAGGACACGGACGCGGGGACTGACGTGGGCGCTGACGTGGCTGCTGACGTGGCTGCTGGCATGCGTGCTGACGTGGCTGGTGACGTGGCGCAGTGGCGCACGGAAGCGGCAGCGTCTGCTGTGGTTGGGAGTATTCTCAACTCACCAGCAGTCATGAACTGGGGGGGAGCCAGCAGGAACGACAGCGGCAGCAATGGCAGCAGCAGCACCACCAGTGCCAGCAGCAGCAGCAGTGGTTTATTGAATGGTTATGGCGGTGGTGGCAGCAGCACAAGCACCACCACCACAGTATTCAGCACCACACCTGCCAACGTGGCCACCTCCTCTTCCCCCTCGTCCTCCTCCCACTCCTCTCCCTCCCCTTCCTCCGGCCGCTCCGCCTCCCCCTCCGCCTCCCCCTCCGCCTCCCCCTCCGCCTCCCCTTCCCCCTCCGCCTCCCCCTTCCCCTCGTCCGCCATCCACGCGCCTCTCCAGGGGGACACCTCAGACGCCTTCAAGGGCGAGCTCTCAGTCACGCTCTGTGAGGCCCGCAACCTCCCCACCTCGCCGCTCTCCCTCCTCTCCCTCCCCACCTCCCCTCCCTCTCCCCACACCCCTCCTTCCTCCAGCCTTTCCTCTTCTCCCACCAAACCTCCTTCTTCTTCTTCCCGTCCAAGAAACAACCCCTTGGCGATTCTTAGCCGGCCGCTGTCTCTCCTGAGTGACCCGTACTGCCGGCTGGTGTTTGGGGGGGCGGTGGTGGAGAGCAAGAGGAACAGGCAGACGTCGCATGCGGCAAGCCCCGGGGACCCGGTGTGGAATCAGGACTTCCTGTTCTGCGTGGAGAGCCCGAGAAGGCAGAAGCTGACCGTGGTGGTGCGGGACTCGGCGCTGTTTCAACGTGACTTGGGCTTCGTGCAGGTGGGTGAGTCAGTGCCAGCAGACTCTCTTAGGTCTAGTCTCACTCACTAGCCCCCCAAGGGCCGAGGGACCCGGTGTGGAATCAGGACTTCCTGTTCTGCGTGGAGAGCCCGAGAAGGCAGAAGCTGACCGTGGTGGTGCGGGACTCGGCGCTGTTTCAACGTGACTTGGGCTTCGTGCAGGTGGGTGAGTCAGTGCCAGCAGACTCTCTTAGGTCTAGTCTCACTCACTAGCCCCCCAAGGGCCGAGGGACCCGGTGTGGAATCAGGACTTTCTGTTCTGCGTGGAGAGCCCTCGGAGGCATCCCAGTATACATGTGGTTACCACGTTACCACTGTTACATAATGTGCCTTTATCATCCGCAACCTTCCACCCTCCACAGCTGCAGGACTGCAGTCTCCCTATGGTTACCATGTTACCACTGTTACTGTGGTTACACAACTGAGCCTTTTGAACCTCTCCCTTTCCCCCCTCCACAGGTTCCCTTGAATCAGCTTCAGGACTGCATTCCAGTCTCCATGTGGTTACCACTGTTACAAGACGGGCCTTTTGGAGTGAAGCCCGCACCTCAGGGCGAGGTTCGGCTGGTCCTAACCTACAAGTCGTACGTGGAGGAAGGCTCGGGCCGAACCACGGTCCTGGGGAAGTTCGGCAAGCCCAACAAAACGAAGGTTCGGATCAGGTTCAACGGAGATGGGGGGGGAGAGGAGGGTGGGAGAACGAGGGATGAGGATAGCGAGAGTGAGAGTGAGAGCGAGAGTAGTGGGAGTTTTGGGTGGAGTGATGGGGAAGGGGGGAGTGATGGAGAGTGGCTGTTTGGGCCAGGAAGGTTCAAAGGAGAAACAACAGCGCCATCAGCAGCGGCGGGAGCAACAGCAGGAGCAGCAGCAGAACTATCAGCAGCGGCAGCGGCAGCAGCAGAAGCGGCGGCGGCAGCCGCAGCAGAATCAGAAGCTGCGAAGAGTGTTGCTAAAGGGGCCAGAAAGGCTGCAGGAGAAACCCTCAAGGACCTGAGGAATAGAGCTAGTAACAGAGCCACAGCTGCTGGGGAAGCACTCAAGTCTGTTGCCAAGCCTGTTGCAGGAGACAAACGGGGGAGGGAAGCAGAGGCAAGTGTCAGCGAAACCAGCAGTGGCAGCAGCAGCAGCCGGAGGGGTAGCAAGCGTGCTAGGATAAAGCAATTCTCGTCGCAGCTGAAGAGTGTAGTGAAGGCCGGAGCGAAGGCTGCTGCTGGTAAGGCGCTCAGTAAGGCTGCTCTGGCTGCTGCTGCCGTGGCTGCTGCTGCTGCCTCTGCTGCCTCTAAGGTTGTGGGTGATGGAGCAGCAGCAGGGGTTGTTGCTGGTGGCACTGGTGATGCTGCAAGTGGTGATGTTGGATTTGTTGTGGGAAGCAGTGTTGCTGCTCCTACTGCTACTCCTTCCTCCCCTGCTGCTTCTGCTGATTCCAGCCCTCTTCCTTTGGTAGATGCTGCCACAACAGCTGCTCCTGCCGCAATTGCTACTCCTGCCACTGCTGATGCTGCTACAAGCAACGTGACTATAAAGGGAGTTGGGGATGCTGACGAAGCAGAGCCTGAGGTGCAGATCCGAGTGCGGGCCTATCCGGTCAGTGATTGGCCGAGGAGGACTGCTGTATCAGCAGCATCAACAGCAAATCCAGCCCCAGCAGCAGCAGCAGCTGCTGCTGCTGCTACTGCTGCTGCTGTGGCAATAGGTTCTTCGATAGCAACACCAGCAGAAGCGCCAGGATCAGCTGCAGCAGTGAATGGTGATGAGGAGGTGGTGAACAGTGGAGGAGACGCAGATGGGCTGTGGTGGGCTGCACCTCAAGGAGAGGTCCAAGCAGAGGTGCAAGCAGAGGCACGTATAGACAACAAGGGGTGGACGGCAGTTTCAGATGATGATGGGGAAGGCAGCTCTGAAGGCGAACTGGGGGGAGATGCCAGTTGGGAGTGGGGTGAAGGCGGAGGGATGTGGAAGGCAGATTTAGAGGAAGTTCCTCTTCCTGCTTTGACCTCTGATGGTGCTGCTGCTGCTGCGGACGACATTTTAGTGCCAAATGGGGCAGCTTATAACGGAGCCAATGGTTTCGCTGCTTATAACGAGTCTGCACATGGCAACGGGCATGTTAGTGATGGAAATGCAACGGGTACAAACGGAAGGGCAGCAGGAGAATCATCATCAGTGTCAGGAACGGCAGCAACAGAGGCAGCAGCAGCAGCAAATGAGAGAGAAGCAGAAAGGTTGAACGAGGCTGCTCTTCACGCTGGTGACTCCTGGTGGCTGGAGAACGATGCTGTTACAGAACTTTTTGACGTGCTAGAGAGGCACTGAGCTGAAGCACTCTTTAAGGAGTTTGAGTTTTGAGTCGGCTCAAAGTCTGGTGGCTTGAGAATGATGCTGTTACGGAACGGAACTCTTTGACCTGCTGGAGAGGCACAGAAGCACCCTGTGTGAAGCAGTGAATAGAGGAGTGTAGAATGAATGAGTCTGTAATGGAGCTGTCTAGTAGAAGACAGTGATACGGTAGGAGGCAGCTGCCTGGGGACTTGCTTGTGCTTGTTCGCAAGGTCTTTATCCCTTTTCTTGCTACCCAGTTTGTGACTTGTAGTCGTCATGCTGTTTTGTATGCTTTTTTTATTCTGGAATGTCTGTGAACTTGTGTGTATATTTGTATTGCTCAGTTACATTTGCTGGATGGAAAGCCTTGATTAAGCGATCTGCGCAGGAACATTGGGATGAGTTAGTGAACTGACTACTCTGGATGCAACATCTACCAACATAGGTAACATACTACTTACAAGGCAACATTTGCCCGCTGCGCTGCCCATACATATCAGAGAATGCCATGCCATTCCTAGCATCACCCATACCCTTATCCGAAAACCATTTACCTCACACTTTCTCCTGACAAAAACCACCTCTCCCAGTCACCAAAAAGACTGCCAGCTATCCCCCAGCCGCCCCTTACAGGACACCATCCCCCCACGCGTCCTCCTCGCTGAGAATGCGCACTTTGAGGGTTCCGCCGTTGCGACCCGGCACCTGCAAGCACGAGGGAACGATAGCAGGTCGTCGGACACGCTTGGTATCATTTCATCGCATAATGTGGCTGCTGTTTCTAGTGAGCTAAGGGGTGGAAGGGGAGGGGGAGGAGGAGGGGGAGAGAGAGGTTGAGGAGGAGGGGGAGGGGGAGGTGGAGGGGGAGGGGGAGGGGGAGGGTGAGGGGGAGGGGGAAGGGGGTTTGGGAGTGGGTGGGAGGGGGAGTAGGGGGGAGAGGATGCAGTGGGTAGGTGAATGCATCTTGCAGCGAGAAAACACAGCTGACAGGGTAATCGCAGCGTACCAGGTAACTGCAACTTACTGGACAAATGCAGCTGCGAATGAGGTCAGAACCACCCATGGCACGATACCCCGCCTGCACACACGCATGGTTGATTTGTCAGCAAAATGGGAGCGACGAATCATTACAACAATCGGCATGTATTCAGAATTCCAGAAGTGAGGCCCAAACCACCGATGGCACAACACCCACAGTGCACACATGCACGCTTAAAATGTAGGTAAACAGGAAAAAAAAAAAAAAATTTTGAGATACCAGTAGTTTTATTAATGTGCGTCTTAAGATTGGGGCATGACATGTGAGCGAGCATGTTTGAGCCATGCGAGTTACTTCTGAGCCAAAAGAGACTCCATCCAATATAGAGTATTTGAGCCATATAAGGTAACTTCCAATCATCTGCCATGCAATGGGGTGCTCACCTCACTTGCTCCTCCCGCCACCTCCATCTCGCAGTGGCAGCACGTCCCTTCAAAGCAGAACCTTTTTTTGGCAATCCGTCGTTGGTAAAATCTAGACACATCCGTCGTGCAATCAAGTGCTCACCTCACTTGCTCCTCCCTCAACCTCCATCTCGCAGTGGCAGCACGTCCCCTCGAAGCAGAACTCCTGGCATAGGGGGGGAATGGGGGGGGGGCAGGAAGAGGGGGGGAAGGGGGGGGAGGGGGGGGGGGAAATTATTAAGATTTAAGAGGAGTATAAGATTTAATATTTCAGTGGCAGCACGTCCCCTCAAAGCAGAATTATTGGCATAGATGAGGAGTAACGGACGCAGGGAGTGGAGAAGGGGGGAAGAGGGGGGGTTGACATGTATGAGATTTAATATTTCAGTGACAGCAGGTCCTTTCAAAGCAAACTTATGATACAGCGGGGAGGGATGGGCACGTGGGGGGAGAAAAGATCCTTCCCTTCTGTGGTCACAGCCAAAGTCGTGCAGTAGTAAAACCATTATAGCATTACGAATGATTACCTCGGAGGGTTTCATGGCGCCACATCTCTCGGCCAGGTGCAGAAGGTTCTCGCCCTCCCTTGACTCCACTGTGATCTGCCGTGGAGGGGAAGGCAGACGGAGCAAGGCAGAAGTGGTGCACATTCTGTAGCCCAAAACTAGGCTTTCCTGATTGCTTCTAGAAGCGCTGACGAAGTGCTCTCGGCCAGATGCAGCAGGTTCTCGCCCTCCCTTGACTCCACTGTGATCTGCCATGGAGGGGAAGGCAGACGGAGCAAGGCAGAAGTGGTGCACATTCTGTAGCCCAAAACTAGGCTTTCCTGATTGCTTCTAGAAGCGCTGACGAAGTGCTCTCGGCCAGATGCAGCAGGTTCTCGCCCTCCCTTGACTCCACTGTGATCTGCCGTGAATGCCCCGAGTGGTACAGGGTGTGGCATGCAGGAGCAGTGGGATTGAGTATACACTTGCTGGTAGTTGCAAGAAGAGGCATTTTTGGGCTGGCCTTTACCAGGGCCTGAACTTAAAGCTGCATCATTTTAACGAGGAACCGAGCTTGCAACATGTAACACCCAAAGTTAGCGTCCGAGCTTGAACGTACAGTTTCAGATCCAAGATCGAACTCCACGGTGATTGGATTTCGTTATCAATACGGTCACTGAGGCGCCTCAGAGCCTCGAATATCGCCTCACATTTGAGGCTCACCGAGCTTTGCTACCTTGAACATACAGTTTCAGATCCAAGATCGAACTCCACGGTGATTGGA